CGGAGAAAGTCAGGCAAGTTTCAAGCTGTAAGTGGTTTGACAGCTTACAAAGGATGGGGACACCATAACCATTAGAGCATTCTGTAGTGGTTAAAGTATCACTAAAGTCACTGAGATGAGGTGGTTTGGGTGCAGTTGTCCTGTCATTTTAGCCCTACAATGTAAAATATTGCAATTTATTAGAAACTGCAATGTTTACATTGCCCGGTTAAAGGGATTCTATATTATTAGATATACCGGTACTAACCTGTATTCCTAACATTATAGTGCCATCTGGTTACACCACCAAAATACATTTAGAATGACATTATAAATACATATATGTATCCATATATCTATATATTGTGATAAAGTGAAGGCAGATAGGCCTTTTAACCCCAGGGGGAGTATGTGTAGTTTGTGTGTGTTACACAAAGCTCTGTTTAGTTATGGGCCCCTGGGGTGGAGCATTTGGAGAGAAGGGTGGGCCAGTGCTCCACTCCACAATTTAGTGGTTTTCTGGGGAGACATGGATCCAGGCCAGGGTTTTTTGGATCATCTCCAACCCACTGCACAGCTGCAGTTAATGAACTGTTGCAGTGGGAATAAACTCCTCCCTGCTAGGCAGGTAAAGGAGAGGGATTGCTGGCTTCCTCCCAGGAAGCAGGTAGGAGAGAGAGGCTGTTCTCTCCAGATAGTCAAGGAGACTAGGCACTTGGAGTGCAGAAAGGAAGCAGTCAGGGCAAGACTGGCTTGGAGCACTGGGAGTGCAGAAAGGAAAGCAGTTAGGGCAAGGCTGGCTTGGAGCACTGGGAGTGCAGAAATGAAAGCAGTCAGGGCAAGGCTGGCTTGGAGCACTGGGAGTGCAGAAAGGAAAGCAACAGGTTAGATAGCAGAGCGTTGCTCTCTAATAAGGTTGGTGCAATATTGTGTTTAGTTTAACCCTGAGAGATAGGGAACTAATGTCAGTTAGTGCTCAGACGAGCTAGGTGTTTGTTTATAGGGTTTTCTGTTACTTTTGTTTTTCATTTACTGCTGTATCCTGTGTGGATTTACAAATAAAGTGCCTGAGTATATGCAATTACAAGGACTGTGCATGTTTTTACCCTAGAGGGCCGTGCTACCTGCCGACAAGGATCACAATATAAATAAAAATTATTCATATACATTTGAATTCTACATATATTTATATAATATTTTTACAGAAGTCATTTTATTAATTACAATTTGAGGGACCTGCCTGACAACCCAGGCTGAAAGTCCAAAGAATTTGGCTCGCAAGCCCTATATTTAACCCTGTAACATTCTAGGACACCAAAAAACCTGTACATGGGAGGGGGGGTGGGGAGGAGGGTACGGTTTTACTCGGGAGACTCTGCGGAACCCAAATATTAGCGTTTAAAAACCGTAAAACAGGGGCACAGCCAATGCTTGAGCTGAGCAGACACCATTCCTGACCGATCCACACTCACCTTGCAAATCGCTATACATACCCGTTTAAAACCAAAATAACTCAGCACTGCAAGCTGGGTGACAGGCTGCGTCGATCAATGCCTTTTTCATTCACTCCAAACAAAGCCAAAACGCAAAGATGGGGCCTACCACGCTTCGCAGACAAGAGGCCTGGAGACACTCCTTGACAGCTTTCTGGAGGCACAGGAGAGTTGGAGTTCCAATTGACGACCCCGCAGCCCCACAACCTACATATGGGGTGCGGATCACAAAAACCTGATGGATACCGGAGCTATGCTCCAACAACCTAAAACTCTGCCGATGGAGACCCACCAGATTGAAGTGGTAACCTATACCGCACCACAGAGCACTGAACGGGACACATCGCCTCCACCCCAACAGGAGAACTTAATGACAGCTCGTCCCCCCGACCTAAGGGGATCTCAAAATACTCCTCTCCGACCTGCATCAAATAATGGCGGCAGACCAAGCACTTCTCAGAACAGAAATACGGCCAACACAGACCGCATTAAAGCCACGGATGAAGACATCCTGGACACCCGAACCGCTGTGTCTAACTTCAGTGGCCCTGTGCAACAACTGCATACCCAGCAGTGCAACCTCTCTCAACGGGTGACTAACCTAGAGGATCAACAACGCCGCAATAATATCAAAATGCGGGGCATCCCTGTTGAGATAACAATGGAGGAGCTGCCTCACTATATCTGGAGGCTGCTAGCTTCTATCTTACTATCACGCCCAGCAATGAAGCCCCCTGGTGAACATAACCTTGTAACCCGCTACATCTTACACCTCATTACATTGCCACATCATGACGCTTCGTTCTAGCGAAGTATATACGAGCATGCACGATCTAACACTAATCTGCGAAAGCCACCTGTTTACCCTTACTACACTCCATATAGCATACTTATGCTTCACTCTAGGCTCCCCGGAGCACACCTAACTCACCAGAACAACCAAACCTTTTATGCCCCCCTCCGCCTAGCCTAGAGAGACAAGAGCATGTAATATAAAAATTAGTGCAGACCAGCTAGCATGACCAATGTTACTGATGTGAAAAACCACTGTATGATATTTCATTTCATGCTGACAACTGTTTCCATCATTCACAATTGCACTCCAAAAAGAATTATCTAAAAACAGTAAAACATATCACAACGATGAAGTAGTAAAAATGCAGTTTTTTGCATTTTTCACACACAAACTGTACTTCCACGGGCGATATAATTGTTGTGATACGTTTTACTATTTTGAAACACTAATATTGGTGTTCAGCAAAGTCTCCAGAGTAAAACAGTACCCCCCATGTACAGGTTTTATGGTGTTTTCAAAAGTTACTGAGTCAAATATAAAGCTTGAGTTTCTTTTTTTCCCCCATTAAAATTTGCCCGATTGGTTATGTTGCTTTTGAGACCGTATGGTAGCCCAAGAATGACGATTACCCCCATGATGGCATACCATTTGTAAAATTAGACAACCCAATATATTGCAAATGGGGTATGTCCAGTCTTTTTTAGTAGCCACTTCATTACAAACACTGGCCAAAATTAGCATTCAATTTAGTTTTTTGCATTTTTCACACGCAAACAAATATGAACGCTACATTTGGCCAGTGTTTGTAACTAAGTGGCTACTAGAAAAGACTGGACCCCATTTGTAATACCTTGGGTTGTCTACTTTTGCAAATGGTATGCCATCATGGGAGTAATTTTCATTCCTGGGCTACCATACGGTCTTAAATGCAAAAATTTAATGTGCTATATTTGACCCTGTAACTTTCCAAAACACCATAAAACATGTACATTGGGGTACTGTTTTACCAGTGAGACATCGCTGAATACAAATGTGTACTTTATTGCAGTAACAGCTAACATTGTGACATTCACAGTTAAAATTCCATGAACTAAAGAAATAAAATTCTCAATTTTTTTTATATTTTATTCATATTAAATTATGCTTAATATACAAATATATGATGTCACATGAAAGCCCTGTTTCTCCTGAACAAAATGATATATGGTAAGTAACACACATAATATGAAAGAGGTGAATTACGCCTGAACAGACAGCGCAAATTCAAGGTTTTGTTTACGTTTTGATTTTTTTTTTTTTCAGTGTTATCAATGTTATTCACTCCACCTGTCAGTGATGTGGTCTTAATGTTGAGGATGATCAGTGTGGGACTGAAATTTTGGTAAAACAAATAGTAGATCATATGAAACGTACATATTGGTACAAGCAGTACATTATGTAACTTAGTCTTTCGTTGACTGATCACAAGTCTGCCGACCATGCATGTTTACATGGTAAATCAAGTCAATCCCGCTTGCCTGAGTTTCCAGATATGGCCAATAAGAGTAAGATATCGGCTGCATTACAAGCACAGGTACAGGAAAATAACTAGGGCATAAGAGTTATTTAATTAAAAATTAAGTATGTCCCACCTCAAGGCTTTTATTGCTTTATTCCACCTTCCCCAGACAGAGTTGGAATGATGGTATGATGGGAGCTGTGGTCCAGCACGTCTTGATTGCAGGTTGGTACTAAAACAACCTTGAAGGAAGGCCTGCTGGCTAGACTTATCCTAAAAGTGGTGATGGAAAATTCCCCTCCTGCTCCAGAGAGGATTATGGGTATAGTACTAATGAGACTTTTGAAATCGGCAGAAACAAAGGGGAATCCCACATGAACCCAATGGAAACTGAAACTGTAAATTGGGTCTTTAAGAGTTAATCCAGGGCTTGACAAATTTGTTTGGAATATAGGAGCCAGCTTAAAAAGTTAGGAGCCAGTAATTTTCAACGCGAAAGTGCAATTCTTAAAGGGACACTATAGTCACCAGAACCACTACAGCTTAATTTAGTTGTTCTGGTGTCTATCGCCTGTCCCTGCAGGCGTTTCAGTGTAAACACTGCCTTTTCTTGCTGCTTAGTAACATCTCTAGTGACAGTCACTCAGATGGCCACAAGAGAGTCCTGGGTCACTGCTGCACCACGTGCAGCAACCTGGTTCAGTGTTTCCAAGCTCTGCATGGAGGCGCTGAATGTTCATCATAGAGATTGATTAAAGGACCACTATACTGCCAGGAAAACATACTCGTTTTCCTGGCACTATAGTGCCCTGAGGGTGCCCCCACCCTCAGGGACCCCCTCCCGCCCAGCTCTGGAAGGGGGAAAGGGGTAAAAACGTACCTTTTTCCAGCGCTGGGCGGGGAGCTCTCCTCCTCCGATCCTCCTTCTCTCCTCCCCGTCGGCTGAATGCGCACACGCGGCAAGAGCTGCGCACGCATTCAGCCGGTCGCATAGGAAAGCATTATCAATGCTTTCCTATGGACGCTTGCGTGCTCTCACTGAAAATTACAGGGAGAAGCACGCAAGCGCCTCTAGCGGCTGTCAATGAGACAGCCACTAGAGGGAATGGGGGAAGGCTTAACCCATTCATAAACATAGCTGAAGTGGTCTGGGTGCCTAGAGTGGTCCTTTAATGTAATGCATCTCTATGAGGAGATGGAGATTGGTACATTTGCTGCGCATGCACAAAATCCTCCAAATGCTTTCCTAAGGGAAAGCATTGCCTTAGCTGAGATCATAAAGATTGATCATCTCAGCCATTGCGAAACTGGCACGGTGTGGGAAATGGGAAGAAAGGGGAGTAAACACACATGCGATCGGAGGGGGCAGGTACATAAACGCGCACACACTGACAGGCTCTCACATACACACACACACTGACAGACTCACATACACACTCACGCTGACAACAGACTCTCACACACAAACGCTTGACAGGCACACACACACAAAGACACTGACAGGCTCGCTCCCACACACACACACACACACTGACAGACTCACACAGGCTTACACACACACATTTTGTTGTTTGAATTGAAACCCACTCAGCCTCCCTACCTTTGGGAGAGCAGAGAGGGTCTTTCCTGGGGTCCAGTGGGGCTGCACTCTTAATGTGTGCGAAGGAGCATGACTCAGCCTGTAGCACACACCCATATATATATATATAATTATTATTATTATTATTATTATTGTTTTTTAAGTAGTTGCCCATTTTAAATAAAATAGTGATAAGATGCATATTTTTATTTATAGGATTTTGTATTTGGGCTCAAAAAGGTAAATCCTGTCTTATGGTTCTCAGATAAGGAATTCCAGATTCAACCACAAGTGCAACTTTCCCTGCAGGCTATTTAACACACTAATGCTTCCTTCAGCACCCTGTTAAGGCTCCAAAAAGTGTACCGCGGTCATGAAATTGGAACTAAGCAGCAATATTGCAAGTGCCTCCTGACAATTTAGTATGTGTGTACAGCCCCCTGGTGACTGAAATGATTGAATTGCAGGGTAGGCAAGGGGAGTGTCATTAGAAGGTAGCTTCAGATACTGGAAGGTCTATTCCATTTGGGAGAGTCACGGTTTCTTACGTTACCCCCTAGTATACACATAGGAATTCCTACACCTCTCAGCCATTTGAAGAGGCCTAGACATTTAGGTGCCAGAGAATAGTACACTCTCACTGGTACATAATGGGTTGCTAAAGGCTTCCATCAAGATCCCACATGGGTTTACTTATTTGCCTTATGTAACATCTAGTATTTACTGTGTCAATATCTTGCCTGTTTAACAAAGGTTGTTTTGTCCCTGCAACAAGCCTTGTCTTGTGTGTTACTTGTCTTGTGTTGGGACAGTTATTTATCATTCCATCATTGACTGATGGATGTGAGAGATACCACTGAAGACACTCAGGCTTCTACGAAGTAAGAACTCAGGTACCAGGTTGCTGCAGTGGATTCTTCAGGTCCCTAGTGGACAATAGAAGGGATTGATGGACTATTTGGTTCAGGCATGGATGCTAAATTTGGAACCAGGCGTCTTGTTACAAATACACATGTGGGGACTAGTAAGTTTTTAGGCTTTACCATCAACATAAAGACAGTCTATTATCAAAACTTGATAATATTTTGAATGCATTATATAGATTAAAAAAAAAAAAAAACAGTCCCAGCCAAATCACTATTAATAGTAGATATCTCCAACACAAAGATGAGATACTCCAACGAGGAGCATCTCATTCTGGTCCATGGGCACTACCCATCCTTGTCCTGCAGAGGATCATGGGATAAGCAGTTCAAACCATATGTGAAACGTGTACAGTTTTTTTAAACAGATATTGTAAGCTGATAGCAGTGGTACAGTTGCGGTTTAAAGGGATTCTATAGTGCCAGGAAAAAGGCATTTTCCTGGCACTATATAATTTTACAGTAACCCCCCATCCCTCCCCCCCCCCCAGCGCTGAAGGGGTTATAACTCCTTCAGCCACTGACCTGAATCCAGCACCGAAGTCCCTCGAAGGCTGAGTCAGGCTCCAACCACGCTCCTCCCCCGCTGACATGACCTGACCATGCACGCATTAGGACATCCCAATAGAAAAGCATTAATTAATGCTTTACTACAGGGAAAAAACTGATGCTGTAGGTCCTTAGAGCGTGAGAGGACGTCCAGCATAAGATACCAGACAAAAGATCTGTTTCAAACCAGGAAGCCATTTAGTGGTGGCGTTAACACAGAGGTAATTATTGTAGTTTTTCAGAAACCGCAATAATTACCATTGTAGGGTTAAGGGACATGGGACAATGAGCTGAAGCGGTCCGAGTGCCTACAGTGCCCCTTTAATGAAAGGGGCTGTGTTATAGCACATCACATGCACAATAGGGAAAATGCTGATATAATCATTTCAGAAACAAAGTAACTCAGAAAATGATTTTAGAGTCAGACTGTCACATATTCATCCGCTTATAGAAATGTGGTTAATGACATTTACTGTCCACACAGGAAAAGTTGTGCCGAGCAGCAACCTAATCCACAGAAGGGTTAATGCTGAGCAGCAATTATACAAATGAAACCTGGTAACTGACTTTGGGGTCAAAGGCCGGTTACAGCCTATCAGAACTAAAGGAGGGTATTTAGGCCCAGTTCTCAGCCTGCTCAGTGCCCTGTCGTGGTTTCCCTTGTGGTTGTCTGAGAGCGCGTTCCTGTTTATAGTTTTCTACCTGGTTTTTGACTTTGGCTTTGTTTATTGACTTCTCTATATTCTGGTATCCTGACTCCTGGCTTTCCTCATCGCTGTGTCCCTTTCTGTGTTCCCTGACCTCGGCTAGTATTTTTGACTATTCTTTGTACGTTAAATCCGGCCATTCTAAGGACCGGTAATACGTTACTTATTTGTCATCCGTGCTGTACAGTTCTACGTGCTGGATCAAACAGTAATCCTGACATTACGACATGGCCATAGATCCTGTGGAACTGTGTCAGCACATAGCTGCTTGTGAGAGGAAATTAGAGGAGAATGATCACCGCATGGATCAATTCACTCAGGCTTTAAGTACGCTTCTCGCTAGAACGGAGCATCTGCAGCCTGCAGCGTCTCCTCCTATAGCACCTCTACCCTGTGTACCTCCACCCACTGTTAATAGGACTCCTTGCATCTCCTTATCACCATCCCTACAGTTTGATGGCAATATCCAGGAATGCAGGGGTTTTCTTAATCAGGTGGAGTACCATTTTGAGGCCTCACCAGGGTCATTCCCCACGGACAGAGCAAGAATTGGTTATCTAATGAATCAATTAAAGGGCAAGGCCCTTGCCTGGGCTAATCCGTTGTGGGAGAGTAATCGGAGCATAGCTCATAATTACCAGGAATTCCTTGCCGAATTCAAGCTCACGTTTGAGCCATTGGGTAGAGAGGATGACGCCTCCACTGCCCTAATGCACATCAGACAAGGTAACCGGTCTATCTCGGATTATGCTATTGAATTCCGTACCTTAGCTTCCGAGGTAGACTGGACTAACAATGGGTTAATCTCAGCATTCAAAAGGGTCTCTCAGAGACTATACTAGATGAGATAGCCGCTAAAGAATTACCTAAGAGTCTTAACGAATTTATTACGTTTGTCATGCATATTGATAATAGGTTAAGACTCAGAGAAGTCACCAGAAGCAAGACCAGACGTACGGCTATGTCCCTAGCACCTCAATTCTCTAAACCTGTTTTGTCTAACCTCCCTGTACAGTCCGAACCCGAACCTATGCAGTTGGGGGTCACTAGACTGTCAGAGGCCGAAAAACAGTATAGGAGAAGGGAGGGGTTATGCCTATATTGCGGTAGAAAGGGACATATGATAACTAATTGTCCAGTGCGTCCGGAAAACTTCCGCACCTAAGAACCTTAAGGGGACAGATCTTAGGTGTGATGGAGTTGTCCTCTAACAAAAACAAAAGTAGATTCCTCCTTGAGGTATCTATTTCCCTTGATAACAAGAAGTTTTCTTGCAGTGCCCTAATGGACTCAGGTGCTGCTGGAAATTTTATTGATGTCCAGTTTATTAGGGGTAATGAGATACCGGTCAGGGAGAGACCTACGCCGCTAGCTGTAGAGGCTATTGATGGTAGACCACTCACACAACCGCTTATAACCCACGAAACTGTCCCTATTACGATCTCCATTGGGGCCTCCCATAGGGAGGAGATGACGTTTCAGGTTATTACTTCTCCATCATGTCCTATCATATTAGGGTTTCCGTGGCTGAGTAAGCACAATCCCTATATTGACTGGGCTAATGGGGAGATATTAGAATGGGGTAAAGAGTGTATGGGGAGATGTATAAAACCAGTACTAAAGAGATTGGATACTATTGACCTTCCCACTACCACTCCCCAAACTCCTGGAGTTTCCATACAATACCGAGAACTTCAGGAGGTGTTTAACAAGGCTCAATCCGATGTATTGCCTCCCCACAGAGCATATGACTGTGCCATTAACCTGTTTCCAGGCGCTATGCCACCTAAGGGGGCAGTTTATGCCTTATCTCCCCAGGAGAGTAAAATAATGGAGGAATACATCAAAGAATCCTTGAGCAAAGGGCACATAAGAAAGTCATCCTCACCAGCTGGTGCAGGATTCTTTTTTGTTGAGAAAAAGGGTGGTGAGTTACGCCCTTGCATAGACTACAGGGCACTTAATAAAATCACTGTAAAAAATGCATACCCTATCCCACTCATTTCCGAATTGTTCGATAGACTTCAGGGAGCTAAAGTATTTACTAAGCTTGACCTTAGGAGCGCTTACAATTTGGTTAGAATTAAAGAGAATCATGAGTGGAAGACGGCATTTAATACCCGTAGTGGACACTATGAATATCTGGTAATGCCATTTGGGTTATGCAACGCCCCGGCCGTATTCCAAGACTTTATAAATGATGTACTCAGGGAATTCATTTACTCATTTGTCTTGGTTTATTTGGACGATATTTTGGTGTATTCCCTGATCTTCAAACTCACCACTCCCATGTGAAACAGGTTCTGCAGACGTTGTTGAAAAATAAACTTTATTGTAAATTAGAAAAGTGCATATTTGACCAGCCTGAAGTCCACTTTTTGGGTTACAACATCTCTGCATCGGGATTTCAAATGGATCCTAAAAAACTAGAGGCTGTACTACACTGGCCATTACCCTCTGGTTTAAAAGCCATTCAAAGGTTTATTGGTTTTGCCAACTATTACAGAAGATTCATCAAGGGATTTTCTTCTGTAATAGCCCCAATCACAAATATGACTCGCAAAGGGGTTAGTAGCACGGTATGGTCCAAAGAGGCTGTGAATGCTTTTGAGACTCTTAAACAAAGATTTGCCTCTGCGGACATACTAAAACATCCTGACACCAGTAAACCTTTTATATTGGAGGTTGATGCATCCGAGACAGGGGTAGGGGCTGTTCTCTCTCAGAGAGAAAGCCAGGGAACACCATTGCATCCTTGTGGCTACTTCTCCAGAAAGATGTCTCCTGCTGAGCGCAACTATGATATTGGCAATAGAGAACTGTTGGCCATTATTCTTGCCCTCAAGGAGTGGCGACATCTTTTGGAGGGTTCCAAGGACCCCCTGTTGATCATAACCGACCACAAAAATCTGGCATATATAGGGGATGCCAAACGTTTGTCTTCCAGACAGGCTAGATGGTCACTGTTCCTTTCACGTTTTAACTTTCTCATTACTTATAGACCTGGTTCTAAAAATACCAAGGCTGATGCCTTGTCCAGGCAATTTGATAATGAGTCAGCTCCGGAACAGATGACATCTCCTATTATTCCACCAGAGTGTATTATTGCTACTACTGTCCTCTCACTGTCTTCTCCACTGCTTGGCACCATACTGGAGGCCCAGCCTCAGGCGCCCAGTGGTAAACCGTGTGATAAACTGTTCGTTCCCCTATGTGAAAGGGTTAATATCATGAAAGTGTTCCATGACAATATAACTGCTGGACACCCGGGCATCAATAAGTCCACTGCCGCGATCACTAGATCATTTTGGTGGGATTCACTCAGGAAAGATGTAAAGGAGTATGTGCAGGCATGTTCTGTGTGTGCAGTTTCTAAGGTGACTCATGCACTTCCTTGTGGCCTGTTGCAGCCTCTTCCTGTTCCTGAGATTCCATGGTCCCACCTATCCATGGACTTTATTGTTGAGCTTCCTAGCTCTGCTGGGTTCACTACTATTCTCATGGTTGTAGACCGATTTTCTAAGATGGCTCACTTCATTCCTCTCAAGAAGTTGCCATCTTCGCAAGATTTGGTCCTAATTTTCATACGTGAAATTGTCCGTTTGCATGGCATCCCCCACAATATTGTGTCTGATAGGGGCTCTCAGTTTGTGTCCAGGTTCTGGAGGGCGTTCAGTAAACAATTGGGGATTGATCTCTCCTTCTCCTCCTCCTACCATCCACAGACCAATGGTACAGCTGAGAGGGCTAACCAGTCATTAGAAGTTTATTTGCGTTGTTTTATTAATAGCACACAAGACAATTGGTCCAAACTACTCCCGTGGGCCGAGTTCGCTAGAAACAATGCTGTTCATGACTCCTCTGGGCACAGTCCATTTTTTGTCAATAATGGTAGGCATCCTACGGTTCTCCCTGCGGTATTTTCTGATACTGCCATTCCTGCTCTGGATGAGCGTCTGGCCTCCATTTGGGATACCTGGGTTAAGGTTCAAACTGCTCTAGGGGCTGCTGCTGAACGCTTCAAACATTTTGCTGATAAGCGTAGGAGTGCCAACCCGGTGTACCAAGTGGGGGACCGGGTTTGGTTGTCATCTCGCAACATCAAGCTTAAGGTCCCTAGCATGAAGTTTGCCCCCAGATTCCTTGGTCCCTATAGAGTGCTTCGTAGGATCAATCCAGTGTCTTACTCTCTGGCTCTTCCTGCATCTTTAGGGATTCCCAACACTTTTCATGTGTCCTTACTCAAACCTCTTGTCTGCAATAGATATACTGTTCCTTGTGTTCCTCCCCCTCCGGTGGTGGTGGGTGGTCAGGATGAGTATGAGGTATCTTCTATCATGGATTCTAGGTTTTCTCGGGGCACTTTACAGTACTTGGTTGTTTGGAAAGGTTACGGTCCTGCTGATCGTTCTTGGGTTTCGGCTCCTGACCTGCATGCGGGCCGTAAGATCCGTGCTTTTCAGGCTAAATTTCCTCTCAAGCCTGGTCCTGTCCGCCCGGTGGGCGTTCTTCAGGTGGGGGGTAATGTCACATATTCATCCGCTTATAGAAATGTGGTTAATGACATTTACTGTCCACACAGGAAAAGTTGTGCCGAGCAGCAACCTAATCCACAGAAGGGTTAATGCTGAGCAGCAATTATGCAAATGAAACCTGGTAACTGACTTTGGGGTCAAAGGCCGGTTACAGCCTATCAGAACTAAAGGAGGGGTATTTAGGCCCAGTTCTCAGCCTGCTCAGTGCCCTGTCGTGGTTTCCCTTGTGGTTGTCTGAGAGCGCGTTCCTGTTTATAGTTTTCTACCTGGTTTTGACTTTGGCTTTGTTTATTGACTTCTCTATATTCTGGTATCCTGACTCCTGGCTTTCCTCATCGCTGTGTCCCTTTCTGTGTTCCCTGACCTCGGCTAGTATTTTTGACTATTCTTTGTACGTTAAATCCGGCCATTCTAAGGACCGGTAATACGTTACTTATTTGTCATCCGTGCTGTACAGTTCTACGTGCTGGATCAAGGAAGGAGAGGGGCTGAGGGAGAACCTGATGTGCATGACTGGCAAGCATGCATTAGGCCTTCAGCCACTAGAGGCAGGCTTAAGTTTGCAAGGTTTCCTGCATGGACAGGGAATGACTGACCGTGCACCAGACCACTTCAATGAGATCAAGTGGCCTGGGTGCCCATAATGCCTATCTTTGAGACTGTATATTTATATCCCTTTAGGATTCGGACAAAGACATACATTTTATATATTGTTGGATACACTTTTCCAATACTTTTAAAGTTATATCAATATATCACAAATTTATTTTTCATATAGGATGTATCTTTAAATATAAAAAGAAAAAAAGTGTATAGAAAGGATATTTCACACATCCACCTCCAGTATTACTGAATTCATATTTATGTAGTTTGTTAAGAGAGTCTTCAGCATTTGGATATAATAGTAGTGTATAGGAATGTCTTAAGAAAATTTTGCTCACAAATCAGTCTTCAAGACGCATACAGCAGTCTTACATTTACCCTAATTAGTGTAGCTGCCAAAGTGCTTTATTTCCCCTCTTTTTAACTGTATTGTTCTTCCACTACCAAGTTTACACTGGAAGGATACAGTTCCAGTGACATTAAAATCTGCCATCATCAGATGTTAGACATATTGAAAATGATCTCTGGGAATTGGGAGTAGTTATATACATTTTCTATTTTAAAAAAAACAACACTAATAATATAGAAACATAGAATGTGACGGCAGATAAGAACCATTCGGCCCATCTAGTCTGCCCAATTTTCTAAATACTTTCATTAGTCCCTAGCCTTATCTTATAGTTAGGATAGCCTTATGCCTATGCCACGCAATCTTAAACTCCTTATATAACATGGCCTATAAATTTAAGTTCATAATGTCAAATTGTCGTGAATAAATTAAAATTATGCACATTGCTGTCACAGGTTTATGTCATATCATACACTGCAAGTCGGCATTCATTTTGTCAGACTTTTCTGGACTTTAAAGCAAGTTTATATTCAAGTGTTGTGTTTGTATATTACATAATTTTTTTTTTCTTGTAGGAGCTTGCAATCAGTACTGAGCGGAAACATTTATCCCCAAAATTATTAGAAATGATCGACAAAAGGTAGATAGATACCGGTTGAAAAAAAACTTCCATGCTGCTCTGCAAAGCATAATTGGGGTAAGCTGTAGTTTAAAAAAAATATATCTTTCACCAACACATTTACTTGACATTTCCTGTGTTCTATGGCTAGGCAAAGATAAAACTGACTTCTTCCAACTGATTGGCTGCTAATTTTTCCATATTTTTCAGCAGACGTTCTTTGCACAATCATAAAACAAAGTAATTTTCAGCAAATAGTCAGTATATTGTCAGTTTTTAACTTTTCCTTTTTTTATTTAAAAACATATACAAGGTATACCCCTCATCTTTATATAATTTTCCAATTTTACTTTATTTTCACACATGCACCCCTGCTTTAGCAGTTTGGAAATTCTAAAATGAGTTTTCAACTTCCCTATGTAAATGTTTCATAACTGGTACACAAAACGGTAAACCGAAGACAGTTAAGAATTAGGGATCGACCGATTATCGGTCTGGCCAATATTCGGTATTTTTGGCAATATCGGTATCTGCCTATAGAGATAATGATATTGCCGATAATGCAGACCAGGACCGCCGGGCCCATGACAAACCCGGCGGTCCTGGAGGACCCGCAGCAAGCTCTTACTTACCTTCCCAGCAGCTCCCTTCGGCTCCTCGGTCTATCTCTCGCTTGTCATGTGGCCGTCAGAGTGTTGCCACGGGTTACCATGGCAACGCTCTGCGCAGCACGCTGGCCACGAGACTTAGACAGGAGTTGAAGGAAAGGTAAGAGCTTGCCACGGGACCACCAGGGAATGCCATATCCCCCCTCCCTGGCAAGTAAGAAGCAGGGCGAGGAGAGACAAAAAAAATAAACTTAAATTAAATATTTAAAAAATAGATAAAATAAAAAGACCCACCCCCCATTTTACACACATTACATACCTACACACACTAAACTCACATACACTCTGCATTCATTATATACACACACTACACACCAAGCATGTCAAACTCACCCCCCTCCACCACCCTGTGCCAAATCTAAACCTCCCGCTGGCACACAAGCACACACACAGATACACTCACTCACACAGACAGACACACTCACTCACAGACAGACAGTTTGACATGCTTGCTAAACAATCACTGCATTCACTAAACTATACACACTTTAATAAGTGAGTGCGCTGGATTTTTAAATTTTTACTGTACTTATTGGCCCCCAGCAGCCAACCCCATTTAAGCATGTTCAGGTGAGTGCAGCCAACCCCTTGTTTGTATAAAAAAATCCCCCAGCATCCTCCTCTACTAAACCAAAGCAACCCCCTTCTACTAAACCATCGGAATCTAGCCAGCTCCTTGGTTCTGCACCCCTCCCTGTCACATGTGCCTCATCTGAGGATCCTATTTGTCCCTGTACTGCAGAGAACTCGAGATGGAAGTATTTCCCCAAGTAAGTTGCTAATTTAGCAGACATTTGGCTGTTGGAGTAGGACCTGCCAAATATGGGGTACATGGACGTTGTGGCAGGCTTATGCAATGTATGGTCATATAATGTAACTAAACCCCCATTATTTTTTTTTAAATAAAACTAGCAAAATCAGTCAGCACCAAAGTAGGTGTTTAGTAGAATAAGGGAGTGCATCGGATTTTCATTTTTACTATAAACACACACACAGTGCTTTCACTAATCAAATACTCTCACTGCATCCACTACACACACACACACACACATATATATATATATTCTTGAAAACATAAAAAATTCTGACTGGCATGTCAATTTTGTGCATTTACCTTAATATAAAAAAAAAAAAAAATGATTTGCAAAAAAAGAAATAGCGACAAATCCTATACTTCTAACCATCAAGCCCCTCTCTTCATTTCTTTTCAACCTATGTCTAACTGAATAAACATGAATGTACTAAAAATGTATTGAAGGACAAAGATTAGTATCCCTTCGCTCTATATGCCAACCTATTTTTATTTTTAACAAATGTTTGTGTGGCACCCCATTCCTTGCATACTCTGTACAGAAAAGAAGAGCAGAAAAGAACAATTTCATCCCCAGATGGTTACACAAGTGTTTTGGAATGAGTTTGGTAAAGAAGGGAGGAGGGGATGATTTAACAATAGTTTCTGAAACTCACACAGCTGTGAATTTGCATCTTTCGTTTGCCTGCATTGTTTCAGTATCCAGAGCAGGCAGCTTCAGCTGAATTAGCTGTCCATTTGTACATTTCCACTTCAGAATAAAAGGTAAAGAACATTCACATGAGTCAGCTATGTACAATATGAGAAAATCCAAATACACAGGCACACAAGACATTTATTCCAGTATAAACAGAGAAAATTTATATTAAAAGACTCTTAAGGACCACTACATTCCGTCTATACATTGTGCTAGCAAAAGTATAGATTGGGAGAAGGAGAAAAAAAGAAAAGAAAAAAAAAAAACGTTAAAAATAGGTCTTTCTCTGACAGGTCTAATATTCGGCATAAACACTTTGCCACTGATTTGATGGACAAGGAAAAGCGGATAGAGTTGAGCGACCCCGAACCAGGACATTTCAGTAACAGTTCGGGTTCGGTGATTTAATGGCGCGTTTTGAAAAGCTGCAGGGCAGCCAATCAACAAGCGTTTGACTCGTGTGCCCTTAGAAGCCATCACAGCCATGCCTGTGATTGGCCAGTGCAGCATGTGACCCAGCCTCTATATAAGCTGGAGTCACGTAGCGCTTATTAGTGTAGGGAGAGGATGCTGTAGCTGTGAGGGACAGATTAGGAAAGAATTCTGGTGCTGAATCTGCAAACTACAGCGATTATTTTTTGTGGGTGCTATACTACATTTTTGTACCCTGCCCTGAGCCCAGTGCCACAGAGAAATAAGCAGTCTGTTTGTTAGGTGGGCCAGGCACATTACTTTAATACTGTTCTGGTAGCTCAGTGGGCAACATCTAGGCATTTTTATTTTTTTTTCCTTATAAATTCTTTATTTTTGTAGTGCAAAAGCTCATAACAGACAGTTGGGAGGTACCCCAAAGGCAATCCTCCAATTTGGTATATAAACATTTAGACATAGAGGTACATAAGAAAATATGCACAGTTTTTATGATTAAAGATGATGAAAATAATAAAGTCATAGGTCCAGCAGCCAACCCTGACTCTCAGTTGGAGGTGGCTTTGCTGGCATATCGATTTGGCTAATGTTAGGCAACATAGAACAACAAAAATATAATCCCGCGATGGCACGGGAGGAGGTGAGGCCATGTTAATTCCATAAATGCCTAAATCGCTTGGTTGTAAGGCGTGTGTGTAACTTGGTAGACTTGCAAAGGAGAATCAAAGTTACTGCACTGGCCCTGACTACATCAATTCTAGTCCCTTACTACGCTAATCTCTTGTGTGATTCTTTGTGTTCCAGCACAAGGTATGGAGGGTCATATTAGGGAAATGTGCCGTATTGGTGTTAGGGAGTATACAGTAAGGACTTACACAATTTACATCTTAATGTGCTTGCAGAAACTTAGGTGACTTGCGGGTTTCCCTATGTTTGAGGGATGTGTGGCTGCGTATTGTTACTCCTCTTACCTAAGGGTGTTGTGTCCCTATGTTGGGGGTGCCTGTGAGCGTTACCAGGCCAGAGTTGCAACATATATTTGCGTATGTGCGTGCTTGACTAGGCTGCAGTATGTGCATAGAGTAAGTGTGGTCTTTTAGGTAGTATCCGAAATGACATGGCTGTCAGGATCCGGAATCAGGGCTGTGTCCTGACTAAATCTATGCACTCAGGGTGAGCACTCCTGACCAAGGGAGTGTCGGGGAGGTATGGAGTGTGGGTGTTTTAGGGTGCCCGCTAGTTGGTTTGTGTAGGAGGAGTTTGAGTGATTTCAGTTGTGGGATAGTTGGTACTGTATACGTGTCCCCCTCCACTAGTCGTGTTGTGCGCGCTGGAGCTGGGTCACCGTTAAGGATCCGTTCGTTCCCCACCTGTAGCTTATGTTTGTTGAACGTAAAAGGCTTGTTACCGGTTGGAATGTTTTGCGCCAGAGGAGGGTTGCCTTTGTGAGATCTTGATAAAACGAGAGATGAGCCTCTTCAAAGTATAGAGGCGTTTTGCCTTTAATTGCGGACATAATGAGGATTTTGTCGTGCACTGTGAGGCACCTTAGTATGACGTCTCTTGCCATGTTAGTTGGTCCCCCCGCGGGTCCAGGTAGGCGGTAGATCCCCTCCACCGTCAGCTTTTTAGCTACTGTGTGAGGCAGGATAGAGGCCAGTAGGCGCCTAACATAGTGAGGCAGTTCGTCCTCTGTTACTGCCGTGGGAATGCCCCTTATTTTTATATTGGATAGACGGAGACGGTCTGCCATTGCCGTTATTTGTGTGGACATGGTGTTCTGGTGGGACCAGACCTGCTGCAGTGAGTTCTGGAGTTCTGAGATGTCCATTCGCATATCTGCTATATCTGTTTCTGAGGCCTGCACTCGGTCAGTGATGGCCTTCATGTCATGTTTTATTGGTGCGAGTTCCAGAATTTTGTGGAAGTCTGACAGTAGGTCCTTTAGGTCCTGCCTGGTTGTCGGTGTGGAGTCAGTGGGGATTTCATGCGGCCTCGATTGGGCGGCTGGTAAGCGGTCCGACCCCGTTTCTTCTCCTGGGTAGGTGTGGCTGGTTGGTCGCAGGGTTTCCGCGGGTGCAGTTTTGGGCTGTGCCGGTCGTTGGAACAGTGTCTATGTCCCTGTGATCCGACGCCCCCGATTTCTGGTAGCGGCGGCCCATAGCTGGCATTTGGGCGTGGGTGTCAGTAGGGGGGGGGGGATAGTTTCTTACTTGTTGTGTAACTAGCGCCTCCAGGACTGGTAGTGTCAGCGTGGGGTAGGCCCCGGTTTTCTTTCTCCGCTTCGGCTGGTTGGGTGCAAGAAAAAAAAGGCATCTGTCGCCTCAGGGGGTGTTGGTGTGTTCAGCTATCCACTTTTTAGGGCTGGATGGGCTCTCTTTTATGGGATATCCGTGGATTTTCGATGTTGCTCGGAGGAGCTTATCAGCATGGCGTCGTCAGGTTGGTGGTCAAGCTCCGCCTAGGCATTTTTAAATACTACTGTGACATTGCAGTTTGACAAATTGACATTTCTTTGGGGGTAAAAAGTAAATTTGAGGCGTGCACTTCATATCTGAGAGTCAAATAGAACCGTCAAATACTGCTGTGACATTGCAGTTTGACTAATTCACATTTTTTTGGTGCTAAAAAGTAAATTTGGGGCGTGCACTTCATGCCCTAGTAATTTCCCGCATGGATTATTGTAACCCTCTCCTGCTTGGTCTTCCCAAACGCCGTACTGCACCGCTACAGCCCATAATGAAGGCTGCCGCTAGACTGATTTCCTCTCTAGTCGGCTCTCTCACACCTCACCCCTCTGTCAGGCCTTCCATTGGCTCTCTCTATGCCATAGGAGTCAATTCAAGGTACTAATTAACACCTATAAAGCACTGAACAACTCTAGCCCCTCCTATATCTCTTCACAGATCCATAGGTATGTCCTTTCTAGGTCTCTCTGCCCGTGACCACCTCCTGTCTGTTGTTCGCACCGCACGGCCAACTCAGGCTTGCAGGACTTCTCGCGGGAGGCTCTCTTCCTATGGAATAGCCTGCCTACCACCATCAGACTCTCCACTAGTCTTGCATCTTTTAAGAAGTACCTTAAAACCCATCTCTTTAGGAAAGCTTATGCCTCCCAGACTAACCTCTACCTCACATACCTGTCTCTTGCGCTCTCCTAAAGGGCAGCACTCTACTCTCTCCTCCAGCACTGCTCTACTCCCACCCTATTTGATATTTCCTGTCCTATTGTGTTTTATACCCCACCTCTTATAGAATGTAAGCTCGTTTGAGCAGGGTCCTCTCCAACCTATCGTGCCTGTAAGTTTTTTGTAATTGTCCTATTTATAGTTAAATCTCCTCTCATAATATTGTAAAGCGCTACGGAATCTGTTGGCGCTATATAAATAGCAATAATAATAATAATAATAATAATAATAATAATAGAGAGTCAAATAGAACCGGCAAATACTGTTGTGACATTGCAGTTTGACGAATACAGTTTTTTGTGCTAAAAAGTAAATTTGGGGCGTGCACTTCATATCTGAGAGTCAAATAGAAACATCAAATACTGTGGTTACATTGCACTTTGCAAAATTCTAATTTTTTGGGTGCTAAATAGTACATTTGCGGCCTGCGGTGCATTTCTTGCAGTCCAATAAAACCGTTAAATACTACTGTTCCATTGTTGTTTGACAAAGTCAAATTTTTTGAGACAGTGAATTAACTATTAATTATGCCTGTCACACTGTTGTGTAACCACTAGAATTTTCTTCTCTTTAGGACACCGGCACTGTCTTACCGTCAGTGAACTTAATTGTTGACTACTGGTGTTAATGGAGCTCCTGTTGCAGGGAGAGGATGTGGTCGATATGTGCCAGTTACACGCACAAGTGAAACACCTTCCTCAGGTGCGAGTAGGTGACAGAACCTTCAGCGTTATTTGGTAGGTCCAAATGCCGCTCTACGAATGGTGAGGCCAGAACAAGTACAGGCGATAGTAGAGTGGATGGCTGACAGTGCCTCCAGTTCCTTCACATTGTCTCCCACCCGGTCCCCTGCTGAAAGCTCAGAGTTGGCACCTGCAGCCCATGGCCATCTGTCTTTCAACTCACCCCCTTGCAAATCAGCCAAGCAGTCTGAGCCACAAGTCATGCAGCAGTGTCTTTTTGATGACTGCTGGTGGGGTTTCCGTGAGCCATCTACCTAGCCCTGCCCCAGAAGTGGAAGAGATTGAGTGCACTGATGCACAACCACTTATGTTTCAGGATGTGGACAAGCGAGGCCCACCGCAGCATGTCTCTGATGACGACGAAATACAGGTGCCAACTGCTGTGGCTTTCTGCAGCATGCAGACCGGCAAGGAGGGCAGGGTTGAGGAGTGAGTGGAAGATGATGTGGAGGATGATGAATCAAGGTCATGCGAGTGACGTGTGCAGTTTGGAGGAAGAGGCGGTGGTTGCACAGAGGCACCAGCACAGCATAAGAGGGAGCAGGGTGCAAAAGCAGAGCGGCCATCCCATAGACAGTACGCCTGCCACTGCCCACCGCACCCAGGGACCAAGCACACCAAAGCCAGCTCCAAGGAGTTCCCTGGCGTGGCAGTTCTTCAGACAATGTGCTGACGACAAGACACGAGTGGTTTGCATGCTGTACAATCAGAGCCTGAAGCGAGGTTCTAAACCTGAGCACAACCTGCATGAACAAGCATCTACATGCAAAGCACGAGCTGCAGGGGAGTAAGCACCTCAAAAGCCAAGAAAGGTCTCATGCTCTTCCTGCTTCCTCTGCCTCTTCCTCCACCTCTGGAGTGACAGTGGCACCTTCCACCCTGCAAACAGAGGATGTGGCAGCAACGTCACCATGTCTGCCACCATCCCCAAGCATCTCCACACTGTCCCATGGAAGCGTTCAGCTGTCCATCTCTCAAACACTGGCGAGAAAGAGGAAGTACCCCCGTACCCACCCGCGATCCCTGGCCCCGAATGCCAGCATTTCAAGATTTCTGGCCTTTGAAATGCTGTCATTCCATCTGGTGGAGACTGACAGTTTTAAAAACCAGATGGCTGTGGCTGTCCCACAGTACGTGGTTCCCAGCCGCCACTACTTTTCCAGGAAAGCCATCCCTTCCCTGCACAACCAATTGGCGGACAAAATCAGGTGTGCACTGCGCAACGCCATCTGTGGCAAGGTCCACATAACCACTGATACGTGGACCAGTAAGCACGGGCAGGGACGCTATATCTTCCTAACTGCACACTGGGCAAATGTAGTGGCGGCTGGGCCTAAGGCGGATAGTAGTTTGGCGCATGTCCTTCCGCCCACAAGGATTGCAGGGCATTTCTCTTTGCCTCCTCCTCCTACTCCGCTTCCTCCTCATCCAGTCAGCGTAACACCTTCACCACCAACTTCAGCACAGCCAGGGGGAAACGACAGCAGGCTGTTTTAAAACTCATATGTTTGGGGGGAAAAAACCCACACCGTGCAGGAGCTGTGGACGGGCATGGAACAACAGACCGATGAGTGGTTGTTGCCACTGAGCCTCAAGCCCAGCCTGGTGGTGTGCGATAATGGACGAAATCTCGTAGCAGCTCTGGGCCTAGCCGGTTTGACGCACATCCCTTGCCTGGCGCATGTGCTGAATTTGGTGGTGCAGAAATTCCTGAAAAACTACCCAGATATATCATAGCTGCTGTAGAAAGGGCACGCTTTCGGCGTTCCCCACCTTGCTGCTGCTTGCCTATCTGCGCTGCACCATAACTTCGGCCTTCCCGCTCACCACCTCATAGGTGACGTGCCCACAAGGTGGAACTCCACCTTGCACATGCTGGAGAGATAGTGGAGTTTCAGCTGCAGCACGCACGGGTCAGTCGCTCTGCGGAACAGCACCACTTCACCACCAATGAGTGAGCCTCCATGCGAGACCTGTGTGCCATGTTGCGCTGTTTCGAGTACTCCACCAACATGGCCAGTGCCGATGACACCGTTCTCAGCCTTACTATCCCGCTTCTAGGTCTCCTTGAAAAAAGGCTTCGGGCGATGATGGAAGAGGATGTGGCACAGGAAGAAGAGGAGGAGGAAGAGGGGTAATTTCCATGGTTATCATGCCAGTCATTCACAAGTGGCTCGGAGGGTGGGTTCCTGCACCAGCATAGGCCAGGTACACAATTGTCCAGCCAGGGCACAGTTCTGGAGGATGAGGAACCGTGTTCACAGCAGGGTGGCACCCAACGCAGCTCATAGGCATCGCTGGAGCGTGGCTGGCGGGATACAGACGATACACCTCCCACAGAGGACAGCTTGTCCTTGCCTCTAGGCAGCCTGGCACACGAGCAACTACATGCTGCAGTGCCTGTGCAACAACTGCTGAGTTGCCCACATTCTAACTTGTGCTGATTACTGGGTGGCCACCCTGCTGGATCCCCGTTACAAGGACAACGTGCCGTCCTTAATTCCCTCACTGGAGCGTGATCTGAAGATGCGATACTACAAGTGCACGCTGGTAGACACGCTGCTGAGGGCATTCCCAACTGACACCGGGGGCTCAGTGGAAGCACAAGGCGAAGGCAGGAGGAGGAGGAAGAGGTTTATTTTTAATTTTGATGTATTTTAAGTGATTTCCCTAGCCACATTTGTTTGCAGGGCACTTGTCCTACTCTTACCCCCATTTTACTTCCTTTTGCTGTCCTCTAGCCCTTTCCAGGACTTTTATTAGAGCCATTTTAGTGCCCAAAAGTTCAGGTCCCCATTGACTTCAATAGGGTTCGTGGTCAAGTTCGAGTCCCGAACTCAAACATCCAGGTGTCCCCTCAACTCTACAGATAGATCATCCACAGGCAGCCCAGCCCTTCTGCTCTCCCAAGCATAGCATCCACAATGCATGCATGATAGTTATGATGAAATCTTCTTACCAGATGCTGCTATCACTGGCTATGGAGTATAGGAGTGGAGTAACCAACATCACTCAATTTTCCAGCATGCTGGCAACAAAGCTAGTGGGTCGGCTTTACGAACAAGGCTTGACCTGCTTATGGAAGCATCTACAGAGCAAATCCCAGGAAACAGCAGGAGGAGTCAATGATGGAAGGCCCATAAAGCTCAAAACTATGGCAGTGCAGGGGAGCATAGTTCGAAATTTTACATTGAACACATCATGTATCTTTGAGATATATCTCGTATTTAAATCTATCTGGGATAAATTTTAGGTAAGTAAATCTTTCCTTAACAGGTTCACTTTAATGAGATATATATATGCTTTTAATGTTGTGGCTGATCGGGGTGTATATATATATATATATATATATATATATATATATATATATATTTATTTCCTGGCTAATCATGGCAGCATATACACATGGGTTAGCTCCTCCCCTACAGCCGATAGGACAGGAAAACCACCAAGGTTTTAAAAGGAGGCTCCATCCCTAAGGTCCTCAGTCTTTTTCCTGTCCTACAGCCCTTAGGACGTGAGCAATTTGCTCCCTTTACTTATGGACATGTATGTTATTTTATTTTCATTACTTTATTTGCTGTTTTTCTGTAGTACATTATGCAGTTGTGCTTTTATGCTGTGATGCATTTAAGCTTTGATATCTTTAACCTCTTAAGGACCAAACTTCTGGAATAAAAGGGAATCATGACATGTCACACATTTCATGTGTCCTTAAGGGGTTAAACGAGTGCATTGTACAGCTGTACCTTATTTTTAAGATTGTGGTACATTATGCGGTTGTGCTTTTGCTAGGAAGCATTTAAGCTGTGTGGCATTTAAAACAGTTTCATTTAAATTTGCATTTAATACTGTTGCATGTAATACCGCAAGTCATTGGAAACCGCAGTACATTTGGAAAACTGCAGTGCATTTGAAGACTGATATATTTTAAAAACTGTTACATTTTGGAAACTGTTAGATTTGAAAACTGTGTTACCTTTTATACCTTGAGGCCTTTAGACTGTGGTGCCTTTAAACTTTGACTTTTTGCACCTGGTTGCCTTTTAAACTTCCTTGCAGGCACTTTTGTTATCTATTTTGCTTTCCCTTGGTCCCAGTGATTTATTCCTGGTTCCCTGGGTGTTTAGGGGCCAGGTATGCTTCAGACAGAGTCCTCTCCCTGGTCTCTAACAGCAAACACACTCGGAATAGGCCCACATGTGGGCAGTTTGTGCCTTATTGGGCCTAATACAGATGACTTGCATTGTGGGAATACAAGTTGCGGCAGCCATCTTGGATAAGGGCAATTGCCAGAAAGTGCCTAAAATAAAGGGGAATACTCCAGAAGTAACTCATGGCAGTAGGTAAACCTGCCTTTCAAGGTTCTAATGGAGCTAGAACGCAGTTGTTTTGCTCTTCAGCAATGAAAATATCCCCTCCAGTACTAGGAGCCTAATTTTTCTGATCACACATACCTGGGCTTGTCATACTCTGGAGGCTTGAGTGGTATCCATGGTCCAGATTGATATAGACTGGAGTTTTTTCTTAATGGGCACAGGAGTCTCCATACCAACAGTATTAAGACCAATGAATCCAAAGGTAAAGCACTGAAGGAAGAAGCCTTCTGGACGAAGAGGTGATTTTTTTTTTTTAGGTCCAAGAACAAGAGCAGTTCCAGGGACAAGTTTCGCCTCTCTTCTGGTGTTAAGAGGAAAAGCACATGAAAGCCTACACTGGACCTAAGAGGGGCCAACAAGAGGCTGAATGTTAGAGTCTTTGGGATGGAGTCAATCAGATCCATATCTCAAGCAATCTGGAAGGATATTTTCCTTACCTCTATATATCTCAAGGATGCTTACTTTCAGTCCAATCTGCAGAGATCTTCGGCATTAGCTCAGAAGAGAACTTCCATGTTAGTGCCCTACCATTTGGCCGCAATGCGGCCCCAAGAATCTTTCTATGTGCTTATAATGTTATTGAGAGTCCAGAACTCCACCTGGTTCCATTATCTGGAGGATCTACTTCTGATAGCCTTAGACCCTCAGAAGGCAGGCACACGTAGGTATATAGTTCTTTCATAACTCCTAAAGTTTGGATGCTTGATGAATATCAAGAAAAGCAGTTTCAGACCAGCTCAGTGGATGACATTCCTGAGTGGAAAATTCTAGGCTCTGCTTTTCCCTATCTCAGGAACAGTTCCACGGATTGTAAAGGTTTTCTCTCCCAGTTTCTTCATTTCTGCCTGGTAACAGCAAGAAAATAGATGCAACTACTAGGAATCCTGGCTTCCATCAGCAGACTTGTCAGATGGGCCCAATGGCATCTCTGGATTCCTTACAGATCCTTCCTATCTTGGTCTAACAAGAGAAAGATTATTGGAGCCAGCCACTTACTATGTCCCCATCAGTGGAGTTGCACCTTACCCTGGCAGCTGAAAGAGGGATTAGATCTCTGAGTTTCCAGTGAACAGAACCTCATTGGTCAATTATTAGCTCGAATTCCAGTTTTTATAAGATTGGTTGCACAGTGTTTGGACCATGTTGCACAATATTTCCATTCATTTGTATGGAATTGAGTAATTTTCAAGTCTCTTCACTTAAGAGGCTTGCTGAAGAACGAGTGGGTCCAAATTTGCTCAAATATCAATGCAACTGTATCCTATATCTACCAAGATGGGTCTCACAGATACATATTGATAGAATTCCAGCCCATAATGATCAGGGCACAGAAGAACAACCAGTGGCTCAGAATACCATGGCTGTTTGCTGGAGCCGAATAACTGTGGACAAGGTGGATTGGCAACCATGCCCTGACGTATCCTCGTGGTTGACGCAGATTGTCTGATACCCTACATAGATCTGATGGCCATTTCTTGGAACTACCAGGTCCAGAAGTATTTTTTACATGCTAGGACTAGAATGCTCAGGTTCAGGATACACTGGCTCAAATTTCGAATTTTAGTCTGATGTACATATTTTCCTGTTTTCGACCTTCTTAAAAAGGCAATGCAAAAGGTGACAGTGGAAGACCGTGTTGACTCTAATTCTTATGATGAATAAGATTATTCTGGAACCTCCAAGGGAAATTCCTGTACGTCCAGACCTATTACAAGGCCCCATGACACACCAGGATCCTCAAGTTCTGGTGTTGATGCGGGAGTCCATATTAGTATAGGCATCCCTGAGACGGTCATTGAGATCCTCTTACAATCCTATACAGGCTTTACTAATCTTGACATGCTTTTGTCTGTTGGAATTACTCCTCGTTCAGGCCTTGAAAGGTTCTGTGTTATAACACTCTAGCGGAACACTTAGCTGCACTTTGCTTCATATAGGCATTCATTGAAATCATGCCTCCACTGAGTGTGGTGAAGCCAATATGTGACGTACCACTGGTCTCACGGGCCCTGACTGAATCATTATTCGAACCTCTAGAAGGAGCTTCCATGGTGGTAGCACAGAAAGTGCTGGTGGCTGGTACCCCAGCAAGGGAAATGGGTGAACTCCAGGCTTGATCCTGTGTACCCCCATTCACTGAATTTCAACAGGATATGGTTGTCTTGCATGTAGCACCAGTGATCGTGCCTAAAGTGAGAGCCTTTTAATGCTGTTCTCTACCTGTAGCAAAGGATTTGGGGCATTCTCCACTAGTGCTGTTACAGCATCTCGTGGGCTTCCATGGCAATGGTCTCTGCTGAAACTTTGTAAAGTTGGCATTTGAACTAGTTTGTCCTGCATTACATATTGAACATTGAAGCAATTAATGAGGCACAATTTGGATGTCACGTCCGTTCTTTACCTGTGCTGGAGGGTATCAGGGCACTCTCCTCTCATGCTGTTGCAACATCATGGGTTGCTATGGCAATGGCTTCTGCTGACACTTTTTGTAAGCTAGCATTTGAACCTCTTTTAGACACGTTTGTCTGGCTTTTCATACTGTTCGTTAAAACAGTCTATGATGCACAATTTGGTACTCAAGTAATTAACTCAGTTCATTCTTCTATCTATGTTGAATTATTCTGATAATTTGATTGACTATTCTGTCCCTGCCTTTGTAAGCTTGGGTATTCCCCATGTGTATATGCTGCCATGATTAGCCAGGAAAGTGGAAAATTTATTCATACTTACCGTAATTTTCTTTTCCTGGCTATTATTCATGGCAGCATATACTTCCCACCCATTAATGTCTCTATTTATGTACTGTAGAGCTTGTAAACTGACTGAGGACCTTAGGGATGGAGCCTCCTTTTAAAACCTTGGTGGTTTTCCTGTCCTATTGGCTGTAGGGGAGGAGCTAACCCATGTGTATATGCTGCCATGAATAATAGCATAATATACATACATATATATATATATACATACATATACATATATACACACACACACACACACACACACACACACACACACAACACAACACATTAAAAGCACCTGCCTAATAATGTGTAGGTTGCCCTCCTGCTGCCAAAACAGAGCTGATGCATTGAGGTATGGACTCCACAAGACCTCTCAACATGTCCTGTGGTTTCTGGAATCAAGACATTATCAGGAAATCCTTTACGTTCTGTAAATTGCGAGGTAGGGCCGACCATGAATTGGATTTGTTTCTCCAGCATAACCCACAGATATTCAGTTGGATTAAGATCTAGGGAATTTAAAGGCTAAGGCAACCTTGAACTCTTTGTCATGTTCTTCAAACCAGCCCTAAACAATTTTTGCAATGTAACTGGGTGCATTATTCTGCTGAAAGAGGCCACTGTGGGTTGTAACACAATTTTCACTAAGGTGTGAACGTGGTCTGCAACAATCTCTTGTTAAGGAGTAATGTGTCAAAAGTCCATTGCCCAGAGCACATCACTGCCTCCACCAGCCTGCTTTTTTCCCCATTTAGAATCTTGCTGCCATCTCAGGTAAACAATGCATGCACACCTGGCCATCCACCTGATCTAAAAGAAAACGTGATTCACCACACCAGTTAACCTTTTTCCATTGGTCCAATTCCCATTGAAGGCGCTTTTGCGGGCGAACATGTGTCATCATGGACACTCTGACCGGTCTGTGGCTACACTGCCCCATAAATAGCAAAAAGCGATTCGCTGTGTGTTTTTACACCTATCATGGCCAACATTATGTTTTTCAGCAATTTGAGCTACAGTAACGCTTTTGTGTGATCGGACCAGATGGCCTAGCTTTAGCTAGAGCCTTGCTTGGGTGCCCATGACATCAGTTCACCAGTTGTCCAGCCTTGTGCCACTTTTGGTAGGTACTAACCACAGCATACCGTTAACACCCCACAAGACTTTAGTTGGAGATGCTCTGAGCCAGTCATTTAGCCATCACATTCAGATCATTTTGCTTGCCCATTTTTCCTGCTTACAACACATGAAATTCAAGAACAGACTGTTCACTTGCTGCCTAATATATCCCACCCTTTGATATGTACCGTTGTAACGATATAATAATGGTTATTCATTTCACCTTTCAGTAGTTTAATGTTGTAGCTGATCAGTGTAACTTCCTCCTTACAGTTCAGAAATTTTGTCTAATTGGTATCTGGGATACTGTTGATTTTGGGAAGATATAAGTTACATGCTTTTGTAAACTATACCTTCTAGTACACCTTGTTTTCACTACTCTTTATTTCTGCACTAACCTCCTGTAACTTTGAACACAAATTAAATGATGAACCAGTAAGTACTTCTTTCACAAGACACTTCAATACACTTGTTTCTAGAGAAACATAAAGGGACACTAACCTTGGTTGGAATGTGCAGACCACCAAGGAACCTCGCACCTTCTTACCAATTTAGTTTTCTTTTATATTTTTAGTTTAATTTTGATTAAGGTAAAACATATGGATATCTCTCTATCTATCTATCTCATACACTTAATGTTTTGCCATGTTTTTGCATATGAAACGTATTGCTTTTTATGATAAGGACCCATATTACTTAATCTCTATAAAGTGTTCATGGTGCAGTGTCCATCTTTTAAATCGTGCAACATAAATGTTTGCCATTCTCAATTAGCAGCAATGTTTACATTTCAGGGCTAACACGCCTCTAGTGGCTTTCAGGAAGACATCTACAAGAGGCACTTCTCTGAGATGACCAACTCAAACTCTGTTCTAAATCAAATGTTGCTCCTAGAGCTTGCTCACAGGCCTATTAATGCATCCCCATGGGAAGTCTTCAAAATCTCAGCCAAAAAAGGCATCATGGAGACCAACACGATATAGGCCGAATGGACACATCAAGATATACATGTTTGTATTCCATATGCTAGAATGTTCCTTTAAATAAAATATACACTCCTCCAGTAAGGAACCGGTTATCAAAATTATACTTGACACAGGACAAGTTTGTTGATGCGCACTCATAAGGAATCCCCAAAAATACATCAAGAAGAATTAATCGAAAAAATGCACACTTAATGAAGTCAAAAAAGAAAATACATATGGCAAGATACTAGAACAGCAATCCTTGTGTATGCTGTATTGGTCCAAGCATGTGAAAAATGGGGGGAAATTTGGTGTAAAAAGTCCTAAACCTGAGCATAGGACCACCCATAGCTGCTGTACAGGGGGGAGACCACCAAAGAAGCCAACCCTAAAGAAATGTTAGAGAAGCCCTGGACGGCCATACGCACTGAAGCTGGTTAAGTGGTCAATGTGATGCTTTGGCTGGGTTTGATAACCAAATGATCATTAAAGTGACACTCATTTTTTAGTTTTTTTATTTTGCCCCCTGACATTGCTGCTTTAGGGATAGTGATGCCTCATACATTAATGTGTACAGCACATACTAAAAGAAAACTGTGAAAAAACAAACTTATAGTAGTTTTGGGTCAAGGATTGTTTGTGTGCAGTCAAACTAGGTCAGTGGCTAACTTACAAAAACTGGGGAGACACAAACGCTCTCCCAGCACCTAAAGCCAGATTCCTCTGCTTCCACCCAAATAATGTGGTTTTACTTCCGCATTTTCCTTACAAATTATACTGAATGACAAATCACATAAAATATGTACATTTACTGACTAATCTAAGAAATTCAATGTGATTTTACATGTAAAGCCAATGTGGCCAAACGAGAAGCGTAGCAGAAGAAAAGGTTTCCAGTTCAACTACTTTGGCCTCAAATTTGAAATTCCCTTTTAATTTCCAAGAATTCTCACTCAAGCAGATAACCCTGGCATTTGGATTCTGGGAGTCCGCAAAGTGCATCCCTTGCAGCCAGTCACTGCCAAACAAATGTTGACAGATAATGCAGAACCCAGGCTTAGAGAGAAGTAATAGCCACAGGTTTTGTGAAACTACTCAAAATTAGTTTTACCCAAAGACTTCTTGCGCTACAATAAGAGTGGTTATATTGCTTGGTGTCCATTTAATGATTAACATTTGTCAATATTAAAAAAATTAATCAATTTTACTGTACGACATCACTGTTTCACAAGGCTTGCATCCTCTCTTTTGATTAGGACAAGGTATTTTAGACAAAACTGCAACTAATTATACACGGGACGGACACAGGCGACTGTTGGAGATGTGGCTTAGAGAGAGGCACTAACCTACATATTTGGTGGTCATGCCCCCGCATCCAACCATACTGGCAGATGATCAGGACAAAGATCAAGGAAATTTCAGGGGACGACATCCCCTTACAACCACTACCGATGCTTCTACACCATACACCCACCCCCACGCAGGCTTATAAAAAAAAAAAAATCACTGACAATTCACTTATTAAACGCAGCAAAAGCTCTTATTCCCCTGCACTGGAAAGGTCCATCAGTTCCCACTCTGAGACAATGGATAGACAAGGTGGAGGCCATCTATGACATGGAGATTCTGACGGCCTCCCTGCGAGAGCACACGGATAAATGCGCTCTGACTTGGTATCCATGGAGGCAGTACATCTCAGGCGGGGTGGCATGAACCATGGAAGCACTGTTCCTACCAGGGTCAACGGGACCACGGGTGAGACCAGACATGTGGAGCCCAGGGTGCTCCCGAGAAACCGGGGCACCTCCGGGGGAACCAACGGCCCTTATACCCGATATCTCCACCTCCCTCCTCTCGCAAACTATTTCCCCTTTTTTTTTTCCTCTCTCTCTCTCGCTTGTCTGTCTCTTTCTCTTTACTTGCACTTAGTCCGGAAACCCTGAACCTGACAGGCTTCGACCGGTACACCCTCAGACGGACAATTTACCCAGAAGCCCATGTCGGACACGTCTGGCACGGACAGATCACGCTGTCACAGCCGAGGAGGCGGTCACCCTCCTAGACATACATGCTAAGGAGGGGCTTACGGGTACCAGGCTGACCTCCATTTACCAGAGGTTGGTCGGTTCTTCTCTCACATACGGAGCTAGGTGATCCGGAGCGCAACTAGACAACAAGGCCCGGATGCTTACCATAGCCCCCAGGACAGACCACTCATAAGGGTTGACAATTAAGCTCATGATGCGCACCGTATGGTGCTCACGCAGACGCGGGGTTGGATGGCATACACTGTATTGACCGTTGACTGACCGACTTTCCACACGACCACTGCCGAAGGCTTAAGACCGCACGGAGGCACATTCCGGATTATCAAAGGCGGGAAATAATTGCAATTGTTTTGATGTTCATACAGGTCTTGTACTTTTTACTGTTTTACTTGCCGTATGCTTACGGAATTCATGGAAAATATTTTCAATAAATATGATTGACACAAAAAAACTGCAACTAATAATTTTTCAAAAATAAGACCTATTTTCACAGTCATTAAATCGGAGACAGACATAACATTTGCATAATGAGTTCTGTAATCTGCAGTAAAACAAAACAAAAAAACGGGCGTGAAGTTGCGAAAAGTTTCAGGTGTAGTATGTGTAGTCAATATTATGGTTGGAAGACACAGAAGATAGTTTGTGACTATTTATAAAAGTGCTTCTTACTAAGATCCTTACAGCATTTACAGATTCTTGTATATATTTTCAGTTTCAATAAAAAAAAAAAATGTTGCTAAACTTTTTAGCAATGATTTGTCCTCTCACCTGGGCTCTGATACTCTCTGGTGGGCCAATGACAAACTTTACTGAAAGCTCCCAGCCAATGACAGATTATGTGCAACATTAGGCATTAGACAGTTTCAGGCTGTACATAGTCTTAAATGAGAGAGGCAAAGGTTTAAAAATAATATCAGGAAGTATTACTTTACTGAGAGGGTAGTGGATGCATGGAATAGCCTTCCAGTTGAAATGGTAGAGGTTAACACAGTAAAGGAGTTTAAAAGATGTGTGGGATAGGCATAAGGCTATCCTAGACTTAAGATAAGGCCAGGGACTATTGAAAGTATTTAGAGAATTGGGCAGACTAGATGGGCCGGATGGTTCTCATCTGCCGTCAAATTCTATGTTTCTGGCTGGTTAATGACACCCCAACTTCAAACCTCTGAAGTAGTCACAGTGCTTGGAGCAACCATTTAAGCCATTTAAAAATTATTTAACAAAAAAAACTAGAGAGACTGCACTTCACCACAACTACTGCAATAAGGCATTTTGGTTATACTGATTAGAGTGTCCCTTTAAATTAACGCACAACACACTATTTTGGCAATAGATTACAAATGGGTTAGCATAAAATACAACAGAGTCAGTCGTGCTGATCTCCACCTGTCAGTCTGTTCTAACACTCTCTGAGTAACTATATGGAAACTTTTATGAGGAAACCAATACGTTGTTACAGTCTGAAAGGATAAAACTCTGTGCTTCCCGCAGCTAGTCACGGACAGGTCTGAATAAACGTATTCACAGACGATTAGAGAAGAAGGATTTCCCTTCATCTCCTTATGGGACTGGTACTCCCCCCCCCACCTCCACCTCCCTCCCCCTTTACTTTTTGTTACTTGAGAATGATCTGTTATGCTAATTTGATTGAGGACTGGCATGTTCAAGCTCGATGAAAAACGGGAAAAACCATGGAACTAGTTAAAATGCTGGTTCACAAACTCCTTCATTTCCAATGCAGTTAACTCACTGAGTGCCAGAGGTGTGTGCAAACAAAACGCAAAAAGAACAGGCAACAATAATCTTTAACAAAAAATGTAAATACAATATATATATTTTATTTATATATAAATAAATGTCCACATTTTCTATAATTCGCTTTGCAACAATTACTTGCGTGAACAGCATTGCCGACTGCCATCCATAATCAGTTTTGTTCATCACCATTGCACAGCCATACAGACTGTTTAGTCAAGTTAGCATGGCTTTAAATAGTTGCTAATGGTAAACCCAAATGTGGTTTAATTTTGCATTAAAATCATTTATGGGAAGGGGTGAGCACAATATTCAAAAACTACAGTCACAGACAAATCCTCACAACGTTATAGTAAGATTAGGATGAATGCATAAAGTGCAAAGTCCACATAGTGTTTAAATAGAAAGTCAACAGGAATTAAAATACTTAAGAAACGTTTTTTGTATTCCCAACGCAATAGAGCCCTAGTCACCGCGGCTAATAAAGGGTTAACCATTTATTTGCTTACCTTAATCCAGCGCCGGGCTCCCTCTGAGTGGAGCTGAATGCCCACGTGCGCATTCAAACCCACCCAGAGGACGTCCAGCGTCAAATAAGTGTGATTTGCTCCGTTTAAATCACGGAAGCGGCCTCTAGTGGCTGTCAGGGAGACAGCCACTAGAGGCTGGATTAACCCTGCAATGTAAACATAGTTTCTTTGAAACTGCTATGTTTTCAGCTGCAGGGTTAAAATTAGAGGGGACCTGGCACCCAGACCACTTCATTGCCTATAGTGGTCCTTTAAGACTGGGAGAATATAAGTCACCAAGTACCAAATAAGTTTGAGTAATCTCTTAAAAACATCAAATACACTACATGGTCAAAAGTACATGGACATCACTTATAATTTTAGCGTTCTGATGTTTCAGTCTCTAAAAGAAACATCAGCATAACTACTGTGCATTGTGATCCTCCTGAAATGGGACCCCATGGACGACTAGGCCGAACTTGAGTGGCCCGCAGAGAGCCAAGACTACATCCCCATGAACACGTTTGGTATGAACTGAACCTCAGATTGATTCATACCTACTCATCCAACACAAGGTACTTGACCAACTCCATGTTAATGCCAATGCTTTTTTAAAAAAAAAAAAGGGGGGGGGGGGGATGTATAACAAACTCATATGGATGTGGTGCCCACATGCTTTGGGCCCAAAGGTGTATATACAAGACTATTTGGATAATGCTTTTTTGATTCTCCACGGTGTATTAAAGGAACACACATTTGTATGCCCAACTCTAAAGTATCCTGTATCTGTTTAATCGGTCATGTACTTTGAGGGATAGGCAGTAAACTTATTTTCATTTTCTCCCACATCGCGGTGTTCGCTTTGAGGTTGGTAGCATCTCCATGGTGGAGATCGCAGAGATTGATTATCTCAGCCAATCCAGAGCTTTCCCACATGAAACCATTGGAAAGATAGTGGGCATGCCCGACAGAACACCACCCTGCGTTAATCATATGATCTTGTTGAAAACAGAGTTTTACTATACTATACTGAACATCACATTTCTGCAGAAGTGCCTCTAGTGGATGTCAATGAGACAGCCACTAGAGGCTTTGGAGGCTGGATTAACCCATTTATAAACATAGTTTCTCTGAAACTGCTATGTTTATAAAAAATAAAATAAAAAAAAGGGTTAATCCTAGAGGGACCTGGCACCCAGACCACTTCATTAAGCTGAAGTGGTCTGGGTGCCTAGAGTGGTCCTTTAAGTTGAAGTGGTCTGGGTGCCTAGAGTGGTCCTTTAAGTTGAAGTGGTCTGGGTGCCTATAGTGACCCTTTGATTTCATAAAATGTTCAAGTAACCATGAGATACAAAATACAAGGTAGGTAAATATGTATGTTGTTTTTGATAAGAACATTTAATAAACAAGCATATAACTAAACAGCAGCAATAACAAAGTTTGTAATTTCAACACGGCTAAAAAATAAATAAATGCACAGGCAATTATCTTTTATGGTCACATAACGTGAGCAGTACATGTAATCGTGGAGTCATCCTGTATACAGAGGTTTAAGAACATGTACAACTTTTTACGAAAGTTACTGTGGTCATGGAAAAGATAAAAACAGCTACTAAAGCAGGTTATCAAGGCACTCCGTTACCTCTCCATACATTATATGATGTAATGAACCATTTCAATTTGGTTTTAAATAGATGTATTACATTCACTGTATTAATGAAAAACAAGAAAGCTATTCAAGCAGGCTACCAGGACAATCTGGTTCAATACCGTACATTACGATGTTATAATCTAAAGAGCTGTACAATAGGTGCTATATTAATGGAAAACATGTACTTTTATGTACTTTATCAGGACACTTTAAGCAACATACTGTACATAATGCTGCAACTAGACATCTTAAATTTAATTGCTATTTTAGAATAATAGGGTAGGTGTGTAGCTTCAGTTAAAAGAACTTATTCAGCAATATCAGTTGGAAGGTGCCAGAGAGTACATTCATGTTTTCATTAAAACGCTGTATACATCCTACAGTTTTCAATAGAAAAGTTGCAGCTGAAACACTAGTGTAATACATGCAGGGGTTATTTTAAGTGTTAACAGGAATGATTAAAAGAAATGTATATAACTATGGTTTTAAGCAGAAAACGATATTACTGCATAAATGTACATTTAATAGTTGTCCAAGGTCTTCCCTGATGTAAGTAATTTAAAACCTGGTGAGTAAAACTAATTCATCAAGTTTCCTCTTATCCTGGGCAAGTAACTTTGCAAACCTGTGTTCCTAACACTATAGTGACCTAGTGCTCTGTTTGTTTTAGCCCCTCCCCCTATTATTCACCTTTTCTCCAGCACTTAGATTCCATCAGCGCTTCTGCCCGCTCCCCTCCCATAATGACATGCTGAAGGCATCACCTCCAAGGTTCTGATCAATCCTATGCCTCTCATAGAGGGAGCACTGGGGATGAGATGCACATGTGTGAGAAGGCACGGGTCATAAAATGCATCTCACGGCAAAGCATTTAATTCAATGCTTTTCTATGCGCTACATTACACTAAATGTCACAGGAGTCTCACTTCTCACTGATCCTGCATAGGAAGTGTCTTTCACCATGCGATGTAAACACTGAAGTATAAAAAAAAAATAAAAAAGTTTTACATTGCAGGGTTAAAACTAGAAAAGCTACCATTTCTGGGGAAATTGTGTGAAGTGTTCTTGCCTCCACCAGTAGTCTACAACTGGAGTGGGCGGAGTAACTGTTATCATTTATGTAGCACATTTAATTGCAACGTTGTTGCACAGTTACATTAAACCATACATTTATAAAAACATTAGCAGGTGTTCAAAAGTCCCTGTCTATGACATCACTTGCTGCTGCAGCCTGGCACAGGTCAGAGTATTTTGGCGGTTGCCATCTTCAAACGGCCGTATTTTAAAAACTTTAAATCATACAGCGAAGAGCTTTATAGTGTGAGAATCACAAGACCCAGACCTACAGTATGTCTCTGAAGTATTAAAAATGAAGGCACAGTCGCAGTTTAGAAATTGCACTTCAAATTTGAGCTTTGTAGAGTGAAGTTTCAATGAATGTCAATGGACGGCGTTAGTTGCAAACAAATGATAATATTGTGAAAACTATCAGGACTATGGCTTAGCCGTTGACATGTTTAGTGGCAGCAGGGATAGCTGAACGTTTTGATTTAAGATTTGTGTAGATGGGCCTGAAAATAAGGGAGTGGTGGCAGTTTAGAAATCATGTCCTGATTTTTCAGCTTTTGCCAGCTCCCACTCTAGCTTTGCCATTCATTCCTATGGGACAAATTTCGCCACAAGAACGACGATATTCCGTGAACCATTCGGCGAAACGTTCCACAAAGTAATAGCAATCCGATCGGGAACAATCTGTACGTTTTGGTAAATCTTTGTCTATGTAGGGTAAAAACTGTGGGAGGAGTTAGGGTGGCAAATTTGGCTATAATAAGAATAATAATATATATATGTAAGATAACATTAAGTGGTCTTGCTATGCAAGAACACTTAATATATATTTGAGATAACATTAAGTGGTCTTGCTATGCAAGAACACTTAACTAAAAGGCTACTGCACCCTAGCCACTTCACTGAGATGAAGTAGCCTGGGTAATGTTAGCGGTCCTTTAATTTTCATGTCTTTGCCATGCAATGCTCAGCCGTTAAAAGAGTTGTACTGCATATCCTAATTTTTGCTGCACATAGGAGTTATATGTGCTTGAGTTGAAGCCAATGGGAGAATCCTCATTGGTTGCAAGATTTGAGCCATCTCTTGGCCTCTATAGATGAAGCGGACCTTGGGGATTTTCTATAGAAGAGGAAGATTCAGAGATGTGCACATTTCTTTTTTATATTTATACTTAAATTTTATGCATTATAGAAAATAAAGTCAAGCATGAAGAGAGTAACTAGTATAAAGAACTAGTCATTAATAGCCATCAGTTTAAAATAATCGATTTTTTGTAACACTTACCTTTTTGGTTATGTTTCCGAGACATTTTGTGGTCACAGTGTCAGACGGATAAGACTATTCAGTACTAGCACACCACACACACACAAAAAAAAAAAATTTAAAAAGTGGAATATGTTTCGGGGACAACGTATGAATTTCTGCCTACCAAATCCACTCCAGTTTCACTTGTCTTGTTTGACTGTGGGAAAAAAAAAAAAAAAAAATGAAGTGACATCCATTATTTTCATGATCTACCATTAAAATTCAAATGCAATAGTCAGTGTACTATAACAAAGTGAGCATATTCACATTCAGACAACTCTAAAATATACCAATTCTGAAAATACAAAGAAAGCAAGTGGTCAAAGAGAATTACATCACTTTTCAAAATTACATATGTAACACATGCTCTTTAGAAAGAAGCCAGATCATGACACCTAAAAAGGACACAAGTCACTACTAATGGTACGCCACTACGAGATACCATAGACTACATCAAGATATTACCAATCACATTTAAACATAATTCACTACACCTTGATTCAACACGTTTGTGGGTTTGTAACCCTCTCGATATCTCTGATGCACAGTTGAGAATGTTTTCCCATTAAATGTTTGATCTGCCTATTGAGGCCCTGCGTGGCTAACTGGTTGACGTAGATTTGCATGTCAAGTACCTGAGAGTCCTACCTCTTTATGGTGACAGCAGGTATTGAGAAGTTTTATGAAAATGTTAAAAAAACAATTCAAAAAAAAAAAAAAAAAAAAGTAGTGTAGTATAATTTTACATTTGATTTGAGCACCACTAAAGTGCAACTCAGAGCACCATAACTACCAAGGTCCACATTAGCTTTGAGGCCATCATCCCACTGACGATATGATCTCCCAGTTATGTATCAAACTGTCTGAAAGTCGATAACAATATCAATTCCTTCTACTTGAATGGCATTTACTGGCTGATATGCTTAGCCAGCGAACGCAATCCATAAATAAAGCAAAATCAAAACATTCCAAATAAGAAATTAATAGACATGACAAGAACAGATCTGGATGTGACTCATTAAAACACACACTCTATTCACTTTTAAGTTTGCTATAGTGGTTGAAAAACTATATAATATCTATTATTCCACCCTCCCTCAGGTATAACCACACTAGAGAATTAACCCCTGACAGCTCACAACAAGCTCCCTAAATAGGCTATTAAGTAGTATCTATTAAAAGTAAACCTCGAAGTGAGATGGTGTGGTATTAACTGGGGTCATCATGGATACTTTGACTGGTCTCAAATTATGCAGCCCCATATGAAAAGATCCGCGATGCACTGTGTTCTCTCTTACACCTTTCCATCATGGCAAGCAATTTTTTTTTCAGCAATTTGAGCTATAATATCCTTTCTGTGTGATCAGACCAGGTGGGCTGTCACTCCCCATGTGTATCATTGAGCTTTGGGCGCCCACTACTCTGATGCTGGTTCACTGGTTGTCCATCCTTGCACCGCTCTTCGTAGTCTTGTGCATCCTGGGAACACCCCATAAGACTTGCCATTTTGAAGATGCTCTGACCCAGTTGTCTAGCCATTACTATTTGGCCATTGTTGAAGTCACTCTGGTCTTTTCACTTGCCCATATTTCCAGCTGCCAAGACATGAAATTCAAGAACTGACCGTTCACTAGCTGCCTAACATACCCCACCCCTTGACATATGCCATTGTAACAATATAATCAATATGGTTCACTTCACCTGTGGTTTTAATGTTGTGGCTGATCAGAGTATGTTCTGTGAACCGGAGACTTCCTTAGTTGTAATTTAGACAGTTGAGGAAGCCAAACCCCTTGGCGAAACGCGCCATCACGCTCTGACGTCATTACGCTAACCGGCCGCTAAGCCCCGCCTCCCGGAAGTGTTTGGAATCAGGAAGTCTTTTCGGCACACAGAGACTCTGTATAGCCGGCGCCGATATAGAGACTGTATACACCAGCACTAACCATAAAGAGGTGACCAGATAATTGGGACTTAGCCTAATACAGCGATATTTTTAAAGAAGCAATAAAGGATTTAACTTCACCACAGTTTCCAGCCTACGTCATTGCAATAGAAGCCTACAAAGTTTAGAGCAGACTTTATTGCTCTACCCTTGTGAGTGTTTAGGTTTACATTTTCTTTATTAATGTTTATGTACATATTACCCTATGATTGTATATTTCCTTTCTCTTTTTGAGACATATATTGGATTGCTGACAGAAGCCCTAAAGCATAGTCCATAATTGGGAAAGCGAAGTATTGTCTCTTTGCACATAATTGGTTGCACAAAGAAATATTTTGTTTGCACAATTTGCATACACACACACACATACATATATATACATATACATATATGTGTGAGTTGCACATTGATGCACTTGATCACAATATTGCACAAATTATTTTCACTGTTTATAAATATTTATTCTTACATTGTTTTATAGGTGATTGAGCTTTTTCACGATATATAGTGCTGCTTATTAGTATATAATATATAGTTTTACATTCAGCGCCATAACATTACTTGATTGTTTTATCACGCTGATCAGTGTATGCCTGGCCTATTGGATCTGGATTAACCTTATGGGTGGGAACAGTATGATGTGCCATTAAAGAAATATTATTTAGGTTACTTCTGCTTATGAAAATATCAACGCTCCAGTGCAGATCTCCATTACAAGTATGCATATTTATTTATTGGCTTAACTGAATAATTGCAAATATCTAGGTTTTAAGCAGTGAAATCTAAAAACGTAGGAGATGAAATATACAGTATGTAAAAAAAGACTATACAAAACAAAAAAATAAAGTGATTAAGATTTATCAAAGTGTCAAAACAAGGCAAGCAATTTAATTTTTATTAAAATGAGATTTAAAATGGAATGCTAAGCACCAGAACAGCTTAATATAGGGTTTCTGGTATAAAACAGCCTGTCCCTGCAGACTGAAAGTTGTAAACATTGCCTTTTCTCACAAATGGCAGTGTTTATATTTGTCCCTGATGCTGCCTCCACAGGTCGTCCCTCAGACTGCCACTAGAGGCCAATCCTGCTGGAATCATGCAATCTTTGTCTATTGAAATCTGCCCGTAGAGATGCAATCTAAAGCATTCACACTAGCTCCACACCCACATGCTTCCTTATAGGAGAGCACTGGATTGGCAGAGATAATATTTAATTATTATCTCAGCCAGGGGAAGAGCTGCAGTCACAGCAAGACCAGAGTGAGGGGGGACTAGATGGTTATTCACTAAAGTGAAAACGCAAAGTGAATTTAAAATTTAAGGCCACAATGGCTGAACCAGTAAAATTTCTCTAATTCAGCTGTGCTTTCAGTTAAGCTACTTTGAGCTTAAATTTGAATTCCTAATGTTAGTGTTCCTGTAAAGAAGAAGAGAAAAAGAAAGAAGTAAAAAAAATAAATGTGTGTAGCGAGAGAAAATGCAGGACTTCCTTTGCACCATTAGTTAAAAAAAAAAAAAACCTGAATAGTGAACATATTAATAGAAAAGGGAGCTATAAACACAGGACTTCGGGAGACACATAACAAGGACTTGGACGATCGGGATAACAAAATAAGAGAAGCAGAGAGGCCCACGGAGGACCTCTCACCAAGACAACACACACGTAGATGATAGGGGATAGGAAATTTGCCTCCATTGAATGGCAAACAAAGCCAACTAACTATGAATTCAACTAAAAAATGAACAGGGAGCAACACACAAACACACACACATACAGACAGACAGACAGACCTACTACGAGACAAAATAAATGAATATGGCCAGAACTAAAACGGTAAGAGGCCTAAAACACACACGGAAGGAAGCAAGGCACGTACACTGAACTTACACACACACAGAGTTAGACAAATCAACTAAAGAACATGACAAAGCAAGGACCACCTAGCTCGCCGCACTATTCAGAATACCTCTACCTACTAAGCAAAGGCAAACTCGCCTGATAAAGACTAGAGGAGAAACTAGGGATGAGGGCCTGACGCTGACAGCACCCCTGTTGGGCAGGATTAAACATAAACATGCCCTGACACTTAGCTAGGAGTTACAGAACGCATCCAACCCCAATTGGATAATCATTGACTTCCCACAAAACGCACAGACCATAATCACAAAACGGACAGCCCAAGCTTTGTTTAACCAACACAAAATGAGTAACACTGGGCGCACTAGTAACCAGTTGGGGAACACCAGGCCAGCTCTAGCCGAACTCAGTACAAAAACACCAATCAGATAAATCCCGGAAGCCACACGCGCTATGCATAAGCCTACAGAACTAGTCTGTAGTGACAACTCCAACACCGACCTCATTACACACTACGACTCATGCGAAGTGTCCGGTATCTGTGAATATGTCTATTGATGTAGGAATGAAGTTGAATAAATTGAAAATCCACATATGCATTCCTACCACTAACCCTCCCATCCCCTCTTGATCTTTGTAACATATTCCACACACTTAATAGTGGGAGCACCACAAGGGACCTGTGTGTCCGTCAACATTGCGGGCCTGCGAGCTCAGATAACTATGTACACCACCTGTGTTTAACTTTTGACTACACCCTTTACTTGTTATTGAATTGCAAAAATTTTGGGGGGAGATCTGCGAATCTCACGGATGTATAAATACTGCATAAACAAATAAAACTCAGATTTACCAAAAAAAAAAAAAAAGAAAGAAAAGAAAGGGAGCTATAGTTAAAAAGTTTTTGCATGGTCTGTATACAATACTTGCGCTTCAATACTTATTATATAAATAATTATGAAATATAATGGTTGTCCAAGTACATTTCATAATATCTCCACCGTTCGTTATGAATGGATAAGGGTTACGACCAGATATGGTATTGTTAAGACGGGTCTGTTTGTAAAAGATTTGTCCCTCTTCTAAAACCTAAATAAATAGGTGCAATAACTTTATAGCTGTACCCATTGTCTACAATTGATAGTATAAACCACTTCATCAGTTGCAAAAAAAAAAAAAAGTCAAAGTAACTGTATTGAGTACAAAATCCCAGATTTTTTTATGACTAGAATATATCGCATATAATATAACATTTGCTAAAACTCAGTCATGGCATATTGCATCACCTTACTCGTCCCACACCTGGGTAAGTGCGTACAGAGTGTATGAAATACACAGTGAATGCCATAATATACAGCTTAGCCCATGTCACATCACATTACTCAGAAGGATAAAGTCACATGCCGGCTACTAGTAGCCAGTCAAGAGATTAGCAGACTTCCCAGAAACTAAAACTTAATATCTGCTACTTAAAGGATTTCTAAAAATGCCACTGGAGATTTAGCAGCGAGCTGTGTTTTGCTCCTTGGCTTAAAACAACAAAGTCAACGTCTTGTGGCAACATCTGGCTAATTGGCTTTTGAGTAAAGCTGTCCCTAAACAAGCTATTTTCAGCCTGTTGATTGAGAGCTAGGATAGGAACTTGGCATAAATATGAACTCTACTGTTAAAGCCATTAAATATCAAATCGGCACCCACTACATGCCACCTGAAAACAGATTTATTTTTCTACCCACATGGGCAACTGGATTCAGATGTTGCCTGTGCTTTATAAGACTTGTTATCACAAAGTGGTTCATATCAAATTGTCGCATGACCCACAGAGGTGGGTCAGAAAATAACAGACCGCATCTAATGAAAGGACCTCTACTGGCTGAGTGACTGCCACTGGAGGTGTCTCTAGGTAGCAATGTAAACACTGCATTTTCTCTGAGAAGGCAGTGTTTACATGAAAATGCCTGCAGGGAGAGGCTATACACACTAGAACGACTACATTAAGCTGTAGTTATGGTGACTATAGTGTCAATTTAAGCAGTATATTCTGTTTGCGGAAATTCTCTATATTTATTGTACATTCTCCACAGTGGTTATGATGCAAGTTAGGTGGCAAATCTAAACCAGGGTTCTCCAAACATTGCTGAACTACAACTCACATGATTCTTTAAAATAAATAGCCAGGGAATAATGGGAGTTGTAGTTCAGCAATATCTGGAGGGACAGAGTTTGGAAAACCCTGATCTAAAGGATTAAAAAAGTACTTTGGAAATTCTCCACTTTATGTTATATTACAGGAGCACTATAGGGTCAGGAACACAAACATGTATTCCTGACCCTATAGGGTTAAAACCACCATCTAGCCACCCTGGTCCCCTCATGCCTCCCTAAATATAGTAAATCTTACTTGTATTCAAGTATGCAGCTGCATGCTTTGTGCCTGTTTCCTTTAGACCTGCCCACTGCCTGCTGACATCAGCATAAGTGGTAGCCAGATCCAATCACAATGCTTCCCCGTAGGACTGGCTGAGACTGACAAAGAGGCAGGTCAGGGGCAGAGCCAGCAGAATTCAAACAGCCCTGGCCAATCAGCATCTCCTCGTAGAGATGAATTGAATCAATGAATCTCTATGAGGAAAGATCAGTGTCTGCATGCAGAGGGAGGAGACACTGAATGAATGGATGCATTTTAGGCAGCCATGACCCAGGAAGGATATCTAACAGCCATCTAAGGAGTGGCCAGTGAAGTTATCACTAGGCTGTAATGTAAACACTGCATTTTCTCTGAAAAGACAGTGTTTACAGCAAAATGCCTGAAGGCAATGATTCTACTCACCAGAACTAAATTAATAAACTGTAGTTGTTCTGGTGACTATAGTGTCTGTTTACATTTCATACTACATACACTATGAATTAAGTTCTGTTTCTTATGTTATAGGATTAGAATGTGAAGAAAATGTAACAGTGTGGCAATGATGGCAGAAGTACCATGACCCGTTCCCCAGTAAAACCATTTTGCCAGAGTCCCCACTGCAGGTAGGCTAATAGCATCTGGCTTCTGCGGCTAACTCATTGCCTGAAAAAGTTAGACATTTCCATGCATTCAGTTGCCGAAAGCAATCAGCTCTTATAAAAATAACTTTTGTAACCGGGTGGCTACTAATGTTGCTAGAGTTACACATCCAGCAGTAAAGGGGTTAAAAACTTTAGGTGCAGTATTTCATGGCAAAATGCTGCACATATCGACTCCAGGAGCCATGACCACTTCAAATCACTGAATTGGTCACAGTTGCCTGGAATAACCCTTTAACATTTTCACGTGAGGCTAAGTTGAGTTTTGTAACAGGTATCTCACTCAAATTTTGCACTGGTCGAGAAAAAAAAAAATAAAACTAAAGAGGGATTGGACATGTTGGGGCATTTAGCTGAACATAAATTGTCACTGCTTCTTTCAGTAAGGCACACCAGACAAAATTCAGATCAGTACAACGATGTGTCTTCGTGAATGATTGAGATATCAAAAATGACAAACATCTCTAAGTTTATACTTTTGTGTGGTAATATTGAGTACTAAAAATTATTTTTTGTCTTATACCAACTGCCAGTGAAATAAAAATATAAGTAAATCCTATGTATTCATCAAATCAGGATATACTGTATCTCATTGGGGTGTATTTCATTGCAAAATTTGTGTTAAAGGGACACTATAGGCACCCAGACCACTTCAGCTCATTGTGTGTCCCATGTCCCTTAACCCTACAGTGGAAATTATTGCAGCTTCTGAGAAACTGCAATAATTTCCACTGTAGGGTTAGCTTCTCCTTTAGTGGCTCCTTTTGGAATTCCAGAATCCAAAAGACCTTTGGTCCTTTATCCGACACTGGACGTCCTCACACTCTGCATGAGGACCTCCAGCATCAGATTTTCCCCATAGGAAAGCATTGAATAATGCTTTCCTATGGGGAGATACTATTGCGAGCATGGCCATTGCCGTGCATGTGCATTATGTCTCCCCCGCCGGTTGACGTCAGCAGGGAAGGAGCGTGGACGTAGCCTATCCCAGCGGCGAGTGACATCGGCGCTGGATTCAGGCGAGTGACTGAAGGGGGTTTAACCAGCCATGCGGGATGGGGGGGGACGTATTGTAGGATTTTACAGTGCCAGAAAAACTAGTTTGTTTTCCTGGCACTATGGAATCCCTTTAAAGTTATAGGCAAAACTATGGCAAGAGCGAGTATGTGCATACATACAGAGACACTGGTAAACTACAAAAAGTCAAAAATACTACTTCTTCTAGAGTTGCAAGTGCTGAATCCTGTTCACATGTCTCAGTGCTAAATATCTAGCTAAGCATCTGGGAGGCAGATATGCACTCGTGTACATTGTCTTCCTACATATCCAATAGGCCACGCTCAATGTGCAAAAAAAAAAAAATAATAATTTTTTTAAAAATTCAATTGTTTGTTTATACTAAACAGACCAAAAATGTTCACATGCGCAATGCATAGATTACTCTTCAATTCGTATCTGATATGGTTCTGGACATCCACACAGGATGACAGAATCAGGAACACTACAGCATTTGGAATACAAAACTGTGCCTGTCAAAAAAACAAACAAAACTTTAAACATTCACCTCTTAACAGCATGATGTCCCTCGGCGCAGGCTCAGTCTCCTCAGAGGGAACATAATGCACATGCACAGCGAGCACTGCACACACGTGCATTAGGCCTTCTCCATTGGAAAGCAAAGAATCAGTGCTTTCCTATGTGGTTTTTCAACATGTTGGACGTACTCATACACAACTGGAAAACATCTAGTGTCATTTCATGGAGTTAAACTCCATGAAACTGCAGGAAGCACCTCTAGAGGCAGACTTAAACCTGCAATGTACCCACTGCAGATTCGCTAAAACTGGGTCAAGGGGATAGTGACAGTGCCTATAGTGTTCCTTTAATTTGCCTACACACATTTTAGGACTTAAAACACAAATAAGTTTTTTATTATGGTTTAGCCATCTTGTGTTCGCAACCATGCAACAGTCTAAAACGTGGACATGTTCCCCCTAGAAAAAAAATGGAGTGATATCCAATGTAAACAAAACAATGTACAGGGAAAGGTTACTCCAGTCACAAAGAAATAAGCAACTATTGTAGTTATCAACTATATTTCTAACATTCATCACACTCAAGAGGATATCACTCTTTTGGACAATACATGAAAGTGTTTAATAGGAAAAAGAAGAGAAGAAAAGAGGGGGGGGGGGCAGAGGGAGTGGGGGGATGTCCACCCTCCTGCTCCCTCCATCCTTACTCTCCCCATTCAATAACCATGACTCAGAACACATCTCTCCTGTCTGCCTGAGCAGGAAAGCTGAAACCAGAGGCTCTGACTGCCCAGCTGCACAAAGAAGGCTTGTCTGGAACTAGGCAGCCTACCTGAAAATAATCCCAGCTGTGTCAAAAAAGGCTAGAGTCAGAGGAACTTTCTGTTAACCTCCTGTCTACTGAAAGGACCAGCAGGCTTTCACAGTAATGTTACTTACATTCGTGATTGCACACCACTAGAAGTAGGATTGCTGGAAAATATTAGCAAATGATGACTGTGCTGATTGAGAGTATATTCCAGTCATACAGTACTGTTATGTTCCAGATTTTTTTTTTTTTGAAAGCTAGAAAATTTGGCAGCAAATTTCCCAGGCTCTTGTCTGCGTGGCAGTTTCATGTTGGGAGACAGCACTGATTTCAATAGAACTAGTACAGGTAGACATAGAAAGAGCCAAAAACAAATGAAGCACCAAGCATTAAAGAAAAGAAAAGGCACTCCTACAATAAGCACTTTTTAAATGAACTCTCTCTATCAAAGCAGTGTTTTTAATCTAAGGATCACTAGCAAACATGTATTACAGAATACAAACCATTGGCAGCATGAACTTGCTAATTATAATCTTGCCTGCTAGAAATCAAGTGTTCTACTGACTAGTAACATCCCTTTCCATAACTTTCTGATTACAGACAGATAGGGAACTCAGTCAGAGGCCCTAGTGCCACTTGATGGGGATCTAGTGAGTCCATCAGCAAATTCTGCCGCAACAGGACAAACCCAAAAAGATTTGGAAAGAAAAGGTTTGTTATAAAGAAAGTAGCTAACGCAGACCCCCCAAAAACGGTGTGCCAACTTGTAAACCTGCTTCAGAAGCAAACATTACATAGCGCTTTACAATATAGGGAATATAAAAGAGGGAATTTAACAATAAATGAGACAAATTATTGAGATTTTACAGGAACAGGAGGTTGATGAGGACACTGGTCAAACAAATTTATACTCTGGAGTCTCTTAGGCTTTCTTTCCCTACAGATGGATTGGGGCAGGAGAAGAGTGCACTCATACAGTCTAACAACATTTGGACTTGTTGACTGTTGTTATGCACTTAACACAAGAAGGTAATAATAAGACAACAGGGAACACCAGGCACCATAACTGCTTCGTTGACAGGATGTGATTTTGAGGCCTTGGAGTGTTCCATTGCCGTCTGAAAGGAAGCAGGCAAGGATTTTACCCCATTACCGATCAAAGGGTTCCATGGGAATTTTAATATCACATGTTCAAACACAAAATTAAACACATTTTTATTTTTTTAAATAAAAAAAATTACCACAGAAAATATGGACCGCCATGCAACTGGTATTGTAATAAAGATTCTCATAAGTATCAAATTGAACAAATACATAGTACCTATAAATCACACCCAGCATGAATACAATAATCCTGTCCTGTCAAGAAACCCTCCCCCACCCTGAACTGGGAAGAAAAAAAAAAAAAAAAGTAAATATCAAGTAATAAAAATGCAAAATCCATCTGCCTTAGGGAACTGCCAGTAGAATTACCGGTATATGATGGCAAACATGTTCAGTGTATACAGGGTAATCCATACATTCAGGGAGAAAGAATGAAAAGAAAAATCCTTGGTATTTAATACTCTAAATAATCAAAATATAATAAAATAAAATTATAGTAAAGTAAATCAAAAACAAGAGATGTCATACACAAGGTATAGGTCTCCCCTATGTAAGGGTGGTAAAAGTAGCCTCACTCTCCCAATACTAAACCATACATAGATATAGATGTATATGACTAGCAGATGATCACAAGTATGTTCAAACACCCTGCTGAGACAACAAAATAAAGATACACAAAAAAAGTTTGCCATAACTACTAAACCTCAAACAAAACTATGCAGGTTACAGTGCACAGCCAGATCATTTATCTAGACTCTAGACACACACCCTCCCCCAAGAGGTCAATAAAAATGAAGGAAGACATGATTAAAACCCCAGTGCTCAAGCTCAGACAGGCCCAAATAGATCAGCATTAAATAAAAATATCACTGAAACCCATTAGAGCCCAAACAAAAAAGTAACCATGGTGGTTTATTACCTAATATAATAGTTAACCACTTCAGTGTATTCGTTTTGGCAGTATTCCTGAAGGAATAAACTATGAAATCCCCCACAGCGGACATAAACAGGGTTACAGAGATAGATAGATAGATAGAGATTATACATACACACACACACATTATATATATATATATATATATTCTCTCTCTCTCTCTCTCTCTCTCTCTCTCTCTCTCTCTCTCTCTCTCCCAAAGAGGCTTCCCACTAGAAGTATAATTCCCATTAGGATGCTGTGTGAGTTCAGCACAAGAGATGAAAAGCTGCTGGCAAAATCTGTTTTTAAATATATTGAAATATAACACAGCATCATAGTAGTGCAGGGCAAATTTCAACATGGAGTTTATGAACTAAACAGTCCCACCTCTCATAACTCAAAGTTGTTATGGGGGCAGGAGTGTTTGGGTACTGTCTTACCTTCAGGAGTTAAATGGTTTTCCCGATTATGTAAATCTGAAATTGGCCCTCCATTGCCACACGGCTCTGCTTGCTCAGTCAACTCCAGAAAGCTTTGCATTGCAGCTGGTGGTAGACAGACAAAGCTGCTGGAAAAGGTAAGATGGCGCCCTAAAGCTCCTGCCCCTTTAAAGAGACTGTCACCTCAAACTTGCCTCTTGTGGTTGCCTTTTCTATTCCTCTTTCGGAGTCTGTTCTTTTCTGATCTATTTCTCTTTAACAAATAAGCCAGTAGTCCCTCATTTGTCTTATGTTTTTAAAAAGAATTAGATCAGAAAGGCATAAAAAGAACAGATTCTTAAAAGAGGAAGAGAAAATGTAACATTAGAAGAAAGGCAAGTTTGAGGTAACAGAGCCACTTTAACTACTCATTAATAATAAAATTAGTTTAACATCATTCCCTACACAGAGTGTGATTTTGTTTGCTAAAGCGTTATCATAGCTTTCCACTGATATTAAAAAGGAACACAATAGGCACCCAGACCACTTCAGCTCATTGTAGTTGTTTGGGTGCAGTGTCCCAGCACCCTTAACACGGAAAAGGTAATTATTGCAGGGTTTTTTTTGTTTTTTTTTATAAACTGCAATAATTCCCTTTATGGGTTAACTCCACCTCTAGTGTCTGTCTACCAAACAGCCACAAAGGGACTTCCGGATTGTTAAGCAACTTTTGGTTGCCTGATGCAGGACGTCCTCACACTATGCATGAGGACTTCCAGCGTCACAGGAATCCCCATAGGTCAGCATGGGGAAACCAAAAGGCGAGTGTGGCGGTGGAGGGGGACAAGAGAAGGCAGACCCGAGCCAGGGACATCGGCGCTGGATCTAGGTAAGAGATAGAAGGGGATTTTAACGGGGAAGGTGTGGGCCCTTGACGCAGGAGGAAGCCCTAGTGCCAGGAAAACTAGTTTGTTTTCCTGGCACTATAGTTTCCCTTTAAACAGACTGCTGACAGCCCTGGTTTAAGTGAATCCTTTTATTTCACCTGCTATAGGTTATTGAAATAAAGCATGCTCATTTCATCAATTATATCACACATGCGTACTACAAGGGTGGATTCTATTTAAATCAATTTGATAAGACGCGATTTATATCAAGATTTTTTACATGTAAAGACTCATTCTTCCTGGTTAGGGATGCACCGAAATTAATATTCTGTCCCGAAACCAAAAATTCAGGATGCCTTTGGCGGAAAACCAAAAATGACTTTTTTCCCCCCCAAATGATTTTCAAATAGTTTTTTCTATAATATTTTTAATATTGGACTTTGTATCAATTCCTTCCCTATGGGTATTTAGCAGACGCAGCATGAGGATGTCCTGCATCAGTTAGGCGACCACCCGGAAGTCCCTCTGGTAAACTAGAGGTGGAGTTAACCCCTCAAGGTAATTATTGCAGTTTATGAAAAACTGCAATAATTACACTTGTGGGGTTAAAGGACAACTCTAGGCACCCAGACCACTTCAGCTTAATGAAGTGGTCTGGGTGCCAGGTCCTTCTAGGGTTAACCCATTTTTTTTATAAACATAGTTTCAGAGAAACTGCTATGTTTATCAATGGGTTAAGCCTTCCCCCTAATCCTCTAGTGGCTGTCTCATTGACAGCCACTAGCGCTATGCGTTTCTACTGTGATTTTCACAGTGAGAGCACGCTAGCATCCATAGGAAAGCATTGTAAATGCTTTCCTATGCGACGGGCTGAATGCGCGCGCAGCTCTTGCCGCGCGTGCGCATTCAGCCCAGGAGGAGGAACGGAGAAGGAGGAGAGCTCTCCGCCCAGCGCTGGAAAAAGGTAAGTTTTTAACCCTTTCCCCCTTCCACAGCCGGGCGGGAGGGGGTCCCTGAGGGTGGGGGCACCCTCAGGGCACTATAGTGCCAGAAAAAAGGAGTATGTTTTCCTGGCACTATAGTGGTCCTTTAAGGGGACAGGGACACTGTACCCAGACCACTTAAATGAGCTGAAGTGGTCTGGGTGCCTACAGTGTACCTGAAGTGGTCTGGGTACAGTGTCCCTTTTGCACCTAATGCTGCAATGTTAAACATTGCAGTCACAGAGAACTGCACTGTTTACATTGCAGCACTAAGTCTGCCCTCAGTAGCGGTCTACCAGACAGCCACTGGTGGCGCTTCCGGAATCGTAACAGACTTTTGGTCCGTTATCGGACGCTGGACGTTCACACGCTCTGCCTGAGGAGCTCCAGCGTCAGATTTTCCCCCATAGGAAAGCATTGATTCATGCTCATTAGATCCCGTTTGTCACGGGACGGAGAAGGAGCGGATCTTCGACCGAGGGACATCGGCACTAGGATAAGGCAAGTAAATAAAGGGTTTTGACCGTTTTTTGGCCGAAATTTCTGTGCATCCCTATTCCTGGTTGTTAATCTTTAATATTTGCAACCAGATTAAGATTTGATATTTATAATGTAAGCTAGTTTAATAGGTTAGTCACTCATTAGGAGAACAATTTAAAACCATAGGATTAGGGTCTTTTTCTCAACTTGTATGTACATTTTATAAAATAAATAAATAAATAAATAAAAATACAAAATTCTACGAAGAGAGGCATGTTAGCTCTGGTGGGCAATTGTCCTGCAAAGTTCTGAAGTAAAACAAGACCAATAATTTGAGCTATAGGTCTTCTCAACCATAATTTACTGCTTTCATTTTAAAGGAACACTATAGACAAATGTGTATTCCTGATTTAAATTAACTATTTAGGCCCCCCGTCCCCCTATCAGAGCAGTAAAAAAGTGATTTTACGCACCTTTGCTCCTATGCTGGACTCATCGCAGCTGGCTCTGCCTCCATGGCTGAGATCATCAAGTTTGATGATCTCAGCCAATCCAATGCTTTATCATAGGAAAGCGCCACAATGCGCCAATCAGCATCTCCTCATAGATAGGCACTGAATCAATGCATCTCTATGAGGAATGTTCAGAATCGCCATGCAGGGAGTGGAGCGCTGAACGCCAGTGCACAGCACTGATAAAGGAAGCACCCATAGTGGCCTTCTGAGTGACTGCCACTAGAAGTGTTACTAGGCAGCAATGTAAACACTGCCATTTCACTGAAGTGTTTACATTAAAAAGCCAAATGACATGCTATATACACCAGAACCACAACATTGAGTATGAGAAATATTGTGATTATATAAGCTCTGCATGATAATTTAACTGTGAATGTCATACTACTGTTAGTTTTTGCTGCAATAAAACATTTGTATGCTGTGATGCCCACTCCCAGTATTCTGCCTATGCATCCTTCTGGAGTATTGTCATGGTGCAGGACCTCTTTAAGCATCACACGGTCAGTTTTTTGCATTTCAGTAATAATGCCAATTTGAACACCCAGCAGTCTATATATCTATCTTTTATATATTATTTTATTAGTAATATATTGGGAGATCTGCCTGACAACCTAGGCAGTTTCCCTGCAGTCAACCTGTCAATCTCGCGGATCCGAGTCATGTGATCTTGGGGTCATCGCTTTCACATGACTCGGAATGGCAAGACTGGCTGCAGGGGGACTGCCTGGGTTGTTGGGCGGATCTTCCAATATATAACTAATAAAAAAACAATTATGTGAAAATTATATATAAAAATACATTTAGTCCCAGTCCCTGGTTACTTAGCGTTTTTGGCCAGGGTGTAACGCCACCTCAGGCTCCTGTCAGTCATCTCAGAATTAAACAGTGAACTGGGATATAAAGCACCTGTGGTATGTGTTATCAGATCACCAGAGCAGTTTCACTCATGTCACAAACTGCTCCTGGAGAAAGTCTCAGCAGGGAATAGGAGTCGTCCTTGGTGTGGGAACTAAACACCACATCAAGGAAAATTTTAGAAAGAAAGAGAGAGAGTTTATATCCATCATTTTTTTCCCAGTGTATTTTCTATACATTAAGGATTACTCAAAGCAACATAGCCACTTCAATGTTTAAAAGTGGGCTGAGATATTTGACCAAACTCCTGAGGTTGCAACTCTACCTCCAAGAGCTCTAATCCAGTTAGCATGGAACTCTATTACAGGCTGAGTAATACAAGTTCTGTTCAAGAAATGCGTTTATCGCCCAATGAAAAAACACACTGCCCAATGCAGCCACTGTCTCTCCACTCCATAGCTCCCTCAGTTACTGCATACATCCCTCGATCCCCCTGCCCAGACCCAGAGCAAATACGTATGCCACTCATTCACCCGAAATCAAATAATGCAAGGATTTCATTGGACCGCAAAGTGAGGAGGAGAACTGAATGTACGTCAGGCAACAGGGAGAACTTTGTCTTGGCACTGGATTGAAGAAAAGATTTTGACTTTATTTCAGTTTTTAAAGACACTATGGTCACCAAAAACACTACAGCTTATAGCCTGTCTCTGCAGGCTTGCAACCTAGCAACACCTCTAGTGGTGGTAACTAAGACAGACCCTAAAGGGACTCCCCGGGTTAGGTCTTGCAAGCTTTGCAGGACCTACATTCAGCATCTCCCCATTCTGCATGGAGACATGAATGCTTACAAACGAGATGTATTGATGAAATGCAGCTCTATGAGGAGATGCTGTTTGGCGCAGAGCAGTGTTTTGCCATGGATGCGTAATAGCATTTCAATGCCAAATTTTGGGAAAGCTTTAGATTGACTGAGATCATCAAAACTGATGATCTCAGCCAAGGAGCTGGTGATCACCACTGGACCAGTACAGTAATGGAGAAAAGGTAAGTAAAATACCTTTTTACTTAATTTGGTGTTAGGGGGGGGAAAAAGGATGAACCTATACAAGTAGTCCAGCACTATAGCATTAAGAATACATGTTTGTATTCCTAACACTATAGTGTTCCTTTAACCCCTTAAGGACCAAACTTCTGGAATAAAAAGGGAATCATGTCATACATGTCATGTGTTCTTAAGGGGGTTAATAAAATAAATAAATAAATAAAAACCTGACTGCAAGGGTTTAAAAAAACCATAAAAAATAAAAAGTTTTACTAACAGTTTTCATTAAAAGATAACTATAGGATGGATGCCATTAATTCATATATTTAATTCTAGAAATTGTGCAAGTTACAGTTCAATGCAGAAGTATATAAAAGCCCATAAAACTTACTAGGGACTTATAGTGCATGCTTGCACACACGCAAACAACATACAAAGAATTAAAAATATTAAAAAGCTGGGGAAGCAAGTTTGAGGCGTAGAGTGATTGATGTGTGAAGTGTAACTGCAAGCACGATCGCTAAACTGGGGCTAGGAAAGAGGCAAAGTTGTTATGGTGCTCTGACAACACTGTTACGAGTGGTATATTAGGAATTGTTTCAGAACAAAATGTACAAGTGAAAAAATGAAGTGTACCCACATTGTTTGGAACTCATCCACACAAAAAAAAAAAAAAAAACACACCACTAATTCTTCAGTGAATACTATTCTACCAATCTACTTCCCTAATACTATCCTTAACTTTTGTGTCACTTCACCCCACTCCCTCTAGCATGTAATCTTATTTCTGGTTACAATTACATGTTTGTTAGTCCACCCATTGTAAAGCGCTGCGAAATTTGTTGGCGCTATATAAATAATAAGTAAGTCCTCTATGTCAATCTTGTCTTTGAGAACTGTCTCCAATAGTAAAAATACATATCCTGGTAGTAGTTCAATGTCTGCAGCCCCCATGTGATCAGGAAAGTACTCCAATGATTCAGATGTTGCAACACACAAATTTTAAATGAGGTTAGTTTCCACAAATAACCTTTTTCATATTAAAAAGATGGGTTTGTCACTCTTGGGAAACATTTACTTCAGTATTTCCAGTGTCCAGCGGACAACACTGACATCACTAGCCGGATTAAAAAGTAGTTAATCAAGTGTAGCTGGAATACCACCACTTTTACTGCCTGAAGCCAAGTCACCTAGGCATCCTGATATGCTACACCTTTTTTGCAAAACACAGACACACCACATAAGTAGGACTAGAACTGCTGTAGACATGAACTAAACTGTGGTTTCTCTGTTTATAGTAAAGATAACCATTCATTGCTAAAATTAGTCAGACCATGCATGACCTTCAATACTTTACGTTTCAATAGTTTAACTGTCCGACAGTTCTAAACCCCTCAGCTGTATCAAGTGCTGTTTTACATCATACACTAGGGATAGCCAAACGTTAGGCCATGCCCATTGGCTGTCCAGTGGTACCATCACTGCCACAGAAGCAAACATTTCACATTAGCCTGACTAGTTAATGACACAGCTAGAGGTGGAGTTGCACTTCTGGCAACAGAGGTGTTAATCTCCGTATGTGCAGTGTTTCATAGCAAGATGATGCACATACAGACTACAGACACCATGACTACTTCAAATCAATTAAGTGTTCATGGTGCTTGTAGTAACCCTTTAAAGAGTATTTCTTAATGGAAATTACACCATTGAATAAAACATTGAAAATCACCTATAACTTCTGAGAAAGCTCAGTTTTAGATTGTGTATATCTATCATCTATAGAGAGATAGAGATAACTATAGCATTTGACATTATAATACAATCCAGTCAAGACTCATAATGCAAATGAGAAGAAAAGAAACGTTGCGGGATATTTATCTAGAGGTTATAAAATGTTTTTGCTAAATCTACAATATAATCATGGGGAAAAAAGTAAACCCTCCTCTATGGTTTTACTTATCAGGGCATACTTATAATCTGTTCCTTAACAGGAATTAAAGTTACTTTAATACAACGTCAGATGAACAACAACACATGACATATTACACAGTGTTATGATTTATTTAATAAAAATAAAGCCAAAATGGAGAAGCCAAGTTTGAAAAACCAAGTACACCTTATGATTTAATTGCTTGTAGAACCACCTTTAGCAGCAATAATTTGAAGTAATAATTTTCTGTGTGATTATCAGTCTCTCATATTGTTGTTGAGGAATTTTGGCTGGCTGTAGGACAGCAATGTGTGGCAGAGCAGGTCGGCAAGGGAGAGAGAGTTGTCATGTTCCTGCACTGCTCACTCTGCAGTGATACCAGGAGCCGGAATATGACATCACTCCGGCCCCGGCATAATAAACAGTCCGCGAGAGGTAGCAGAGCAGGAACATGACAGCCGCTCCACTGGACCCGAGGGAAGCCAATCTACTCCAGCTCTCTCAAAGGTAGGGTGGCTGAGTGGATTTCAATTAAAAAAATATATTTTTTTAAATTATAATTTCTGAGTTTGCGTGTGTCTGTTGAGGTGACCATTCCCCCTCTGTTTGCATGGCAAAAGCGATTTTACTCACCTTTTTCCCATGCTGTGCCTGTCTTGTCATGACTGGTAATCAAGTTTGTTGATCTTAGCCAAGCCAATGCTTTTCTAGGCTATTGCACATGCACTAATCAGTGCATCTCTATGGGGAACCTTAAGTGCCAATATGTAAAGTGTGGAGACACTTAAAAGAGGTGCTGCACACCTAGAGGTGTTACTAGGCAGCAATGCAAACACTACCTACCTTTTCTCTGAAAAGGTAGTGTTTACATTGAAAACCCTGAAGGGACTGGCTATAGACACCAGAACTACTACATTAAGCTATAGTGGTTCTGGTAACTAGATTGACCCTTAAAGAATTGGCTTTTTGTAGCGGAAAAATAAGTTTTGTTAGTTTAAAAACAAAAAAATGGCTCTTAACTTTTTTAGCTGGCTCCTATATTTCAAGCCCTGGTGTGTGTGTGTGTGTATACTATTTGGCATTTGGTATTTTGACATTATGTGTTTAGCAATGTATTAACTATCCACTTACTTCAGGTGGAAGGGGTTTTCATCCACACTTTTTCCCCCACCACAATTCTTTTGATATTTACAAGTAACGCCAAGCCTCCATAGCTCCTCCTGTCTTTGCTCCTCTTCCTGAGTCGTGTTTCAAAGCTGTTGAATACAGCAGACACATACTCCAAGGAATCCATGTGTAAAGTGGAATTATGAGGCAAAAATTTGGTTCTTTGTTGAGCTCATTTGCATACACCTACCCTGAACCCTTGCAGTAGTGAGAGCACTGTTAAAGTGAGATTTCTGTGGGAAAAGATAGTATTATGGCTTGACTGGTTTGTGTATTTGGCAATGTATTAACTATCCACTTAGGTGGAAGGGGTTTTCAGCCACACTTTTTTGAGAGATAGAATATATATATATATATATTCTTACAGATATATACATACACACACACACATATATATATACACATATATATATATATATATATATATATATATATATGTAAAAATCAGATAAAATTCTTATCTTGTAATACCTTCGCTTTAACCCCTGTATCACAACTCAACTTTGAATTCTATGTGTCGTTTTGCTCAGAAATGCTTCAGACTTGAGAAAGGGAGGTTCTCCCGAAAAAAATTCTGTTAGTCCAATAAAAAAGGTATTACAAGATAAGAATTTTATCTGTTTTTTACATCTACATCACTGGACTAATACGGCTACAATCTCTACTTACATATATATACACACACACACACACACACACACACTAAATGTAAAAGTCTTGGAAATACTGATAAATCTTCCTCGTGGATTCTGTTTCTTCTCCATCACCATGTTCAATGGCAGATAAAGGCAACATTTATAAAGATGATTGAATGGGAGCCTAGGTGGCACTCAATTATAGAAAATGGGAAAATACAGCAAAGGAGATTTCTACATTTGCGCCCCCCCGATTATACAAAATCATTTGCCAATTATACGTGATAAACATACATGGTTTAAAAATCCTAACTTTCATTCCAGATTGACTTCACCGCATGTTTGAAAATCAAAAAGATACGGTACCAGGGCTCACAGGATCATGTGAAATTCTCCTAGAAAAAAAAAAAAGCTAATCTCTTTATAAAAAAAAACAAAAACTTTTTTTGTTGTTCTCGCCTCAACTAGTCTGGACTCTATTTCTAACGTTGCCATCAGAGAACACTTGAATCAGAAAGTATTGTGTCATCTACCTCTTTGTATGGTTTGTCACTGCATCTGCTAGATTATCACTACAAAGCTAGTAGCTTCTCTCAAGAAACCATCTCCTCATAATTTAAGTACATTGGCTTTTCAACACTATGCTGATCCCTACAACAGCCTCCAACCCACACTGGCATTGTGCATCATACTGAATAGCATTAATTTAGAATTCAAGGAATACCTGGCCTGTATTCTGCTCGGACATTTACATTCCTGCAGATAGGAAGCAGCTATTGCAGTGAAGGCTGTCTTTTAGCACTCCAACTAGTATGGTTGTTTCCTATGAGCCTCATCCACAGTTAAGCATTACCGATCAACAAACCTTATACTTCTCCATCAAAATTTCCACTTCACTGTAATACAATCCAATTCTCTTAATACAACCTAGTTTTCCAAAATTACCACCAATCCAGTGCTGCTGCAAGTTTTAGCCAAAAGGCTACAACCCCCATCCTGTCATGCACACAGTTCTGTAACCCCCCCATCCTATCCTTCCATGCACACGGCTGCACCTGCGTACACAGCTCTGCACCCTGCCAGCGCACAGCTCTGCACCCTGCCATGCACGCAGCTCTGCACCTGCCATGCACACAGCTCTGCACCCCCCCCCACCCTGCCATGCACAGCTCTGCACCCCATTCACCGCCATGCACACGGCTTCCGCACCCCATTCTGCCATGCACACAGCTCTACACCCCCCACATTTACCATGCACACAGCTCTACACCCCATTCTGCCATGCACACCAGCTCCTGCACCCCCCATTCTGCCATGCACACGGCTCTGCACCCACCCCATTCTACCATGCACACAGCTCTGCACCTCCCATCCTGCCATGCACACAGCTCTACCCCCCATCCTGCCATGCACACAGCTCTGCACCCCCCCACCCTGCCATGCACACAGCTCACTGCACCCCCCCACCCTGCCATGCACGCACAGCTCTGCACCCCCCACCCTGCCAGCACACACAGCTCACTGCACCCCCCATCCCCTGCCATGCACACAGCTCTGCATGCCACACAGCTCTGCACCCCATCCTGCCATGCACACGGCTCACACCCCCTATCCCACCATGCACACAGCTCTGCACCCCCCATCCTGCCATGCACACAGCTCCTGCACCCCCCCTATCCTGCTATGCACACAGCTCTGCCCCCCCATCCTGCCATGCACACAGCTCTGCACCCCCCCACCCTGCCATGCAGCATCCTCTGCCATTTCTAGCAGGATGCTGAGCCACCACTCCCTCATGCATGCTCTGCAGCACATCCACCAGCTCCGCCAATCATTACCCCGGCTGACCACTCCCGGCCCCTGGGAGCCGCCGTTGCAGGCCGGCCCGAGCTCTCCGTTGCCAGCTGAGTAAGAGCTCAGGCCCAGCCACCAGCAGCACTGAGCGGCCGTGATTGATGGCTGAGGGGGAGCCGGGCGGCGGGGCCCACACGGAGCGCTCTCAGGGTCCTTCACTAGCAGTCAGGATCCGTACCGTGAGAGGGCGTGCTGCCGGCTGTCCCCGGGGAGATAACCAGGTCCCGTGTATCCGCCACCGAGTGCTCTCAGACGGCCAAGGAGCACCACTGTCTAAGACGCAGGGAACTGGAGGGGGCGGGGCCTCACATAGGTCGGGGAAGGCGGGGTTACGAAGTCAGCCAATGACAGCTCCGCATTCCACAGCTTGCCAGGTGGGCGGGGTTAAAAAGAGAACAAAAAAAAATAAAAAAAAATGGTAATCCTACATAGTAGTTTGAAATGCAGGATCTGCGAGACAGCCAAGGACCTCTCACGTCTGGGAGGCGAGAGCGAGCCGAACACTGACGGAAATTGCCGAATATTGACGAAGGAATTCCCGAGGGACCATAAACTAGCGGAAACAGGAGCGCTGCAGCAGCCAAAGGGTTCCCAGGGAAAGCTGCTGCCAAGGGAGGGGTGTAACTCCATATCTCACTCGCCAGCCACGCTGCTTATTATTTCATCATTATAATTGTAGGGGTGTGGGCGGGGTGTGGCCAGGGGCAGGTGGTTTACTAATTATAATTTATACTAAAATCCCATTCAGCGCTAGAACAATGTACAGGTGTTATCAAAATTATTCAACCCCCATTGAAAATCAGGTTTATTGTCAAACTGTTTGCAATGTACAAATCAAACAAAAGCCATTGAAATGGCTCAACACGGCGAATGCTTCAAATGGCTTCCCCCAAATTCAGCTGAAAATGCAACTTATAATGACTTCCCCAGTCTCAAAATTATTCAACCCCCGTCATGGCAAGCTACTTAGTACTTAGCAGAGAACTCCATTGCTGTTCTGACCTGCTACAACCAAGATGCACAGCCAGACACCAGCTTCTGGCAGCGTTCCTGAGGAATCTTAGCCCATTGCTCATGAGCCATAGCTTCCACTTCAGTAATATTTTTGGGTTTGTGTGCTGCTACCGCCTTCTTCAAATCCCACCAGAGATTTTCTATTGGGTTTACGTCAGATTGCTGTAATGGTCGCTTTAGAATATTACAGGACATCTTATGTAACCAAGCCTTTGTGGAATTTGATGTATGCTTGGCATCACTGTCTTGTTGGAAGGTCCAATGATGCTCAAGCTTCAACTTTCTCACAGACGACATGACATTTTTTTCCTAGGATTTCCTGATACTTTAATGAATCCATTGTGCCTTCTACACATTGCAGGTTTCCAGCGCCAGAGGATGCAATCGTTTCCAGAGCATCACCGAGCCACTACTTATTGTAGGCAGTGTGTTCTTTTTAGCGTATGTGTCATTCGTCTTCCTCCAAACATACCGCTGAGCCATTGGGCCGAACAGTTCCAGATTTGTTTCATCGTTCCACAGAATAGAATCACAAAACTTCCGTGGCTTATTTGTATGATTTTGAGCATATTGGAGCTGACTTTTCATGTGCTTTGGAGTCAGTAGTGGTGTATGTCTTGGAGTTCTGGCATGGAAACCATCTGTGGTACATGCCTTACTGTGCTCACTGAAACCTCAGTGCATGTTGGCACCAAGTCTTGCTGCAGGTCTTTTGCAGTCTCACAACCTGCCTTCTGGTTACAGCCATTAATAGCTTCCCTTTTCTGTCTCGTCCAGGGGCTTCTTACAGTGTCTCTAGGAGCACCATCCTGTTCCTTGTTTTTGAAGAACAATCTCTTATCTTAACTTTGTGGACCAACACTTTAACAATGTTGGGGCATGTGTGTGTGTGTCCTGACTATAATGGGCTTTAACCCCTTAAGGACGGCGAGTGTGTCATGCCGTCCTTGGGGACCCGCCTCTAACCGCCAGCGGGTGGCATAACACATCCATGCCCTCCAGGGGACTTACCTGCTCACTGGTGATCCCACGCCGGCCATGTGATCGCGAGGTGCTTCCTATGGAAGAGCCTGCCTACCACCATCAGACTCTCCCCTAGTCTTCAATCGTTTAAGAAGTGCCTTAAAACCCATCTCTTTAGGAAAGCTTATGGCCTCCCAGAGTAGCCTCTACCTTACATACCTGTCTCTTGCTCTCTGCTAAAGGGCAGCACTCTACTCTCTCCTCCAGCTATGCTTCACTCCCACCTTGTTTGATTGCTATTTTCTGTCCTATTGTGTTTTACACCCCACCTCCTATAGACTGTAAGCTCGTTTGAGCAGGGTCCTCTTCAACATATTGTTCCTGTAAGTTTTCTTGTAATTGTCCTATTTATAGTTTAATCCCTCTCTCATAATATTGTAAATCGCTATGGAATCTGTTGGCGCTATATAAATGGCGATAATAATAATAATATATATCTTAATATCAAAATACATGTAGAATATTACTTAACTATATATATGTATATATAATATAAAATAGATAAATATATAAATACGTTAAAAATGAAAAAAATCATTTAAAAATGTGTCATTTCATTTTAACTGTATTTTGATTATATATATATATATATATATATAAAATCAAAATACACTTAGAACAAAATAATCTATATATCTATATACATAAATATATATGTAAAAAACAGAAGAGTGCTGGTGCGCAAGAATAATTACAGGGACACCTCAAGTGTTGTGAAGTGTTTCTAGACTGTACATACAGTGGAACTGGTGTTATCACACGTTAAAAACATATATACCAAACACATCTTTGTATACTTATAACCTGTCAAAATGCACAGATAATTGCTATAAAAGGGGAGACAAAAAGGAACAGAGAAGGCACTCCTAGTGCAATAAAGTTATTAAAATCAGATAAAAAAAATAAAAAACAAAATGCCCTCTGTAAGAATACAACTCACAAGTAGGGAGTGGTATAAGCCCCACTCCAAGCTATGTCACCTAGGGAGGATCAGCCCGAGTGCGTGGGATCCGATAAACGCTCCTGTGACCCAGGTATCAGGAAAAAACTTTTATTGATGAAGTATAAAAAAAGCCACTTGGCTACAGCATAAAAACAGTACAGAAACCGGGACCCCTGAGTGCCTGATGTTCAGAGTAGGAGTCACAGTGTGAAGGTGGATTAGCAGGGTCTGGTGCTGGGTAGCCACACGACCTCTGGTGTTGAGCACCAGCGTTTGCGCGGCCACATACCAGAATCCTGATGCAGCTACAGCGGATCCCAGGAACTAGGAGCTTGATATGCAGACCTCCCAGGAACTGGATAGGGGGCTCTGCAGCAGACATGTATCCAGTACAGAAACAAGGCAAGGCTAGGATAGTCACCAAACATGAAAACAAGACAGAACTAATAGAACCCAGAACCAGAGCAGGACAGAAAGCAGAACCCAGATACATAAGTGAACATTAACTAAACAGGGGCAGGACAGGACTGTACATGGACTGGAAATACAAACTAAAACAAGACAAGATAGGCAAAACAAGAGGAGAAATAACTAAGCACTATATATGAAAATCAAAGGGATTTAGTTACCTTATATGATCATACATTGCATAAGCCTGCCAACAACGCCAATGTACCCCATATTCGGCAGGTCCTACACTGCCTAATGCAAACCAAACCAACTAGTGATGTCCCGAACGGTTCGCCACGGACGGTGAACATATGCACTGTTCGGTCCGCCCCCTATGTCATCATTGAGTAAACTTTGACCCTGTACCTCACAGTCAGCAGACACATTCCAGCCAATCAGCCGCTGACCCTCCCAGGCCCTCCCACCTCCTCGACAGCATCCATTTTACATTCATTGTGAAGCTGCATTCTTAGTGAGCTGTCCAGGAGGTGGGAGGGTCTGCTGCTGATTGGCTGGAATGTGTCTGCTGACTGTGAGGTACAGGGTCAAAGTTTACTCAATGATGACGAATAGGGGGCGGACCGAACAGTGCATATGTTCGCCGTCCATGGCGAACCGTTCGGCGAACCGTTCAGGACATCACTAAAACCAACCAAAGAAAACACCCGTAGTCCTTACCTGCAAGAAAGGGTAGAAGACTTGAGCAGCTGCCTGCAGGAACACTGAAACAAAAGGAATGATGGAAAACAAACGGGTGTGGCAACATAAAACAAACATTTAAATGAATCCAAGAGACTGGGAAATCCAGGGACGCAATAAAAGAATGAACCCAGAAATCCCAGCATAAAGAAAACCAGACATAGAATAGAAAACCAAAAAACCAAGAAAAACTAAACAAGAATTGAAAAAAGAGTACTGGATACCAGAAACCAAGGCCAGACATCTCCACAGAACAGAGCAGTATGTGACATTTCCTAACTTTGTAATTGTTGGGAAAAAGGATATGAGGAAGAAAAACTAGAAAAATCAAGATTAGAAATCAAAGAAGTAGAGAGGAAGAATCTTATGCAATATAAAGAGAAAAAGGATAATGAAATAAGTAAAACTCCCTTCATATGGACTTTTAGTTGCAACAATTACAAAGTTAGGAAAACTGTCTCTAAATATTGGCCCATTCTTCTTCAAGACTCTACTTTTAGAACTTTCCTCCCAGATAAACCTCATTTTATCCATAGGGAAATTAGCAATTTAAAAAAATTCTTTAACTTCTAGTTTTATAAAAGAAAAATCTAATATTAATACCACCTTTTCTTAATACAGAAAAAGGATTTTTTGATTCGGACATTGCTTGCCCTGTAAAAGAATGGATAATAAAAAAAAATACAACTTAAAAAGTTTCAATCTAATGAAGGTTCAGAATACCAGATTAAAGAATTTATAACCTGTCATTCTAAGAATTTAATTTATCTCATACAATGCCCCTGCGGTCTAAATTATATAGGAAAAACGACAAGAGCATTACATACAAGGATAGAAGAACACGGCCGTAATATAAGCAAAGGTTTTGAGAAACATAGTGTGTCCTTACATTATAAAACTCACCATAACTGTGAATTAAGAGGCACTACTTTCTTAGGGATTAATAAGATAACAAAAGATTGGAGAGGAGGAAATTTTAATTTAAAATTAAGTAAAATAGAAATGGAATGGATATTCAAACTTATCCCTAATGGTTTTATCCCTAATGGTTTAAACTCAGACTTTGAAATGTGTCATTTTCTTATATAATCCTTTTCCCTATTTCTTTTAGTAGATTTTAAGTTTCACCTATTTTTCATCTTTTTGGTGATTTTTTTAATATAGT